CAGGAGCGGTAGCAAGTCAGCATGTCAGACCAAGTTCACAGGCACGCTTGGCCGTGTCAAAAGATGGGTGCCTCCCTCTGTGTGCTCTTCTGGCTGGTATCGGTCACACCGTGAAAATCACGATGTTCGCCCTCGAAAAGTCGAAAAGTCGAAAAGTTCACATGCCAGGAGATTTCGGCTCGAAAAGTCGAAAAATTCGAAAAAATCGAAAAGTCGAAAAGTCGAAAAGTTCGAAAAATTCGAAAAATTCGAAAAGTCGAAAAGTCGAAAACTTTTTGGCTTTTTGACTTTTTGCGAAAATTTTCCCTGGAAGAGTGATAAACCCCGTGGGTTTTGGAGGCATTGGAGCACAGGCAGTATCCACGCACAGGGCTTTTTATGGTTGTTTGGTTGCTCTTTCCCTGTCGAATGGTTGGTTACTTTCCAGGGGAGCAGGAAACTTGCAATCAGTGTATCAGGATTAGATTTTGTGTTGCTCATGTAATTAGTGGGTTTCTCTATTTTTTTGTGTTGATTTTGTGGGTTTTGAAAGCTGGATACTGAAAACCCACAGAATTGCTGAGCAGGTATTTGGCTCAGGGCTACCAGGGCCACTGCTGTCACTAACTGTCTTGAGTTGCAACCAATTTAGAGGCCAAATGCAACTCAGCTTGCCACATCTTGCTACCAGTTTAGGGGGCAAATAGCACTCTCCAAGCGTCTCAAGATTTGTTTCCAGCTACTGTGCCGGTTTGAGGAGTGAAACAGTGTTCGGCGCAGCCAAACTGAGGCTTTCTGGTTGTGTCGCAGGAATTCCCCAGGGATGGGGCAGCATGACCCTGATCAACCAACAGGGTTTTGATCAGTTTTGCCTACAACTACTAACTAGGAGCACGGCCTCTAGAAGGCCGTGGGTTTTTTGTGATCAACGGGGTGTCATGGATCATATTTGATGCGCTCGTGCAAATAGGAATTTGTTTGATGTGAAATTTAAGGCCGTTAACCCCTTATTCTGGTGCAGTTTTTCAAAGCAGGCATTTCGCCTAAACGAAACTAACATTTTTGTTTTTTTTGCCGATTCTGAAACTAATTCGACGTGACATGTTTTGCGTCATCTTTTGACGCACGAATGGAAAGTTCAAGAGTACCTACAGTAGCGTAGCATGACGCATGAGTGGGAACTTCAAGAGAACCTACAAGCGTAGCATGACGCATGCATGGAAAGTTCAAGAGATCTTACAGTAGAGTAGCATGACGCATGCATGGAAAGTTCAAGGGATCTGACAGTAGCGTAGCATGACGTATGCATGGAGAGTTCAAGAGAACTTACAGTAGCGTAGCATGAGGCATGAGTGGAAAGTTCAAGAGAACTTACAGTAGCGTAGCATGACGTATGCATGGCAAGTTCAAGAGATCTTACAGTAGCGTAGCATGACGTATGCATGGAAAGTTCCAGAAAATCTGCAGCATGACGCATGAATGGAAAGTTCAAGAGCACTTACACTAGCGTAGCAAGACGCATGAATGGAAAGTTCAAGAGTACTTACAGTAGCGTAGCATGACATATGCATGGAAAGTGCAAGAGAACCTATAGTAGCCTAGCATGATGCATGAGTGGAAAGTTCAAGAGAACATAAAGTAGCGTAGCATGAGGCATGAGTGGAAAGTTCAAGAGAACTTACAGTAGCGTAGCATGACATATGCCATATGTGTGGAAAGTTCTAGAAAACTTACAGTAGCGTAGCATGACGCATGAATGGAAAGTTCAAGAGTACTTACAGTAGCGTAGCATGACGCATGAATGGAAAGTTCAAGAGTACTTACGGTAGCGTAGCATGACGCATAAATGGAAAGTTCAAGAGAACTTACAGTAGCGTAGCATGACACACGCATGGAAAGTTCAAGAGAACTTTTAGTAGCCTAGCATGACGCATGAGTGGAAAGTTCAAGAGAACTTAAAGTAGCGTAGCATGGCGTACGCATGGAAAGTTCAAGAGAACTTACAGCAGCGTAGCATGACGCATGGGTGGAAAGTTCAAGAGAACTTACAGTTCAATTGAACTTACAGTAGCATAGCATGACATATGCGTGGAAAGTTCAAGAGAACTTTCAGTAGCGTGGTATTAGGCATGAGTGGAAAGTTCAAGAGAGCTTCCAGTAGCTTAGCATGACGCATGAATGGAAAGTTCAAGAGAACTTACAGTAGCGTAGCATGACGTACGCGTGGAAAGTTCAAGAGAAATTTCAGTAGCGTGGCAAAAAAAGAATAACAACATATATAAAAGTCCACTGATCTTGCTTGGACATGACATGTGCAATGCACTTCATATTCAACAAAACTGGACTTTGAAAGTCATGTATGCGTTCTTGATAAAATAATAACAATAAATAAGTAAGGAACAGTTGCATAGTTCTGAGTTATCATGATACTGATAATGTATATATTAATCAATATATCTATAGTATATATATATATTGACTAGCGCTAAAAAAATATAGAATAATATAATACAATATCATATATTTAAAAATATGATATAAAATAAAATAAAATAATATAATTTAATATAATATATAAAAAATATTATGCTATAATATAACAATAAATAATATATTTCATAATAAATTAAAACATAATAACAGATCCTATATAATATAAACTAATATAATATAGCATAGTATAATATAATATTGTAAAATATCATCTGGTACGATATAATATCATAGGTAAAATATGTTTATACATAATATGTTTTAGTTATAATGCAATAAAAAATAATGCACTATAACATACCGGTAACATCATGGGATGTCATATAGAATGATATGGTTTTGTGATGTGTTGTGTGTTATAGAAAAATATTTCATAATGTAGCATAATGCAACTTAATGTCAAATTATATAAAATAACATGGTATAGTATTGTATGTGTAGCCTTACCGGGTATATTATTACTTTATTTACATATCCTAACAATTACCCATCTCAACCCAAATCGATGCGGCCTTTTTGTGGGTTTCTGGCTAGGCATTTTCGCGATCCACAAAACCTCGACCTCGCTTGCCTTCTGGTGGAGGATAGATGATAAGACAAGAACCCTTGCGTACTCAGTTTGGTGTATTGTTTGGGTGGTTCAAACGCAACTTTTCGCTGAAAACTCCAACCGTGGTAGAAAAGTTTCACCCGAAAAGTTGAAAAGTTCACATTCCAGGAGATTTCTGCTCGAAAAGTCGAAAAAATCGAAAAATTCGAAAAGTCGAAAAGTTCGAAAAATTCGAAAAGTCGAAAAGTTCACATTCCAGGAGATTTCTGCTCGAAAAGTCGAAAAAATCGAAAAATTCGAAAAGTCGAAAAGTCGAAAAATTCGAAAAAATCAAAAAATTCGAAAAGTCGAAAACTTTTTGACTTTTTGACTTTTTGCGAAAAGTTTTGCAATTTTCGCGCTGTGCGATTACCGGCGAGAAGAGCGCTTAGTCCAAACAAGGTACGCCTCAAATCCTCTGGCTTTCCTATTGAATTGCCACTTGGGGGTATACTCCATTTTCAGACAAACCCAATTAGCGAATAAACACACGCCATAATTCGCTGGGATCTTCACCAAGTTTTGCCAGCGGCACAGCGTCCCAAGCTTATCAGTATTACTGTGATATATTTATCAAAACGGAAAAACACAGTCAATGTTTTATAATGTTAAATAGCTCTTCAAAGTGATCCAGATATTGGTACAGGTCAAGTCCTGCCTTCCCAACAAATCGGACTACCACTTAGTCACTTAGCCTGACCAACATGTGTGGCTCGCTGTCTTAACTCATGGGACAACTCCTGTGCTCTTCACATGCCTAACCTGAGATGGCCCCAGGTTCGGGTCTTCTCACTGTCAAAACTCAAAACACAAAAATAACTATGATGACTTCCTTGGTCACCCTCACCGGCATCTGTGTGGAACAGGAGTGGTTCTTCCAGAGTTCTTTCTTTCAGGATCTTGTACTGTCCCAACGCTGAGTCAGCGATAACAATTCTGCTGGCCCACTGTCGACCAACCAGTATTGAGGTTCTGGGTTATGCACATATGTCACATATGTGCATGCAAAAAAACGGGTCACAGAAATCTGGTCTCCAGTTCCAAAACGTCACCGGCAAAAACATCATGCTGAAAAAAACTCACCACCCAAGTCAAAATATGTGGAGTACAATGGAATACAGTTTAGTTTCAAACGTTGTTTCAAAGTTTCTCAAAAGATGGCAAAACAGGTTCAAACTGGACTTCTCTGAGGCACGGCAGAAAGCTCATGAAAGCTCTGTCGCTCTCTTGCCCTTTCCTTTGGAAACGTTCCTTTGGTTTTTGTTTTTTTTGCATCTTTTTGCTTTTGATTTCCACCTCTTTTTGCCTCCTTTTGATTTACAGTATTTTGATTTCCCCTTTGATTGGCTCTGCTCATTCTTTCTGCTTTGCCCTTCTTCGGACAATTGTCTGCTTAATGACAAGGTTCGCATTTGAAACATGTCCGTGTTTCAGTTTGCTCACCTTTCCAGACTGCTTTCCAGATCCCTTGGGTTCACTGCTCTTTCCTTTTTGCCCAGGCAAACGCCAAAAACGCGCCACAAAGCACATGCAAACAGGAAACGGCACAAGCCAAAACGCAAAATCCAGAAGGCAAGCGCCAAAAAAAGCCACAAAGCAGGTACAGCCCAAATCTGTTCTTCAGCAGATCAATAAAACCTCCATCAGAATGGCAGTAAAGCACAATAGCCCATTAAGATGCTAACCAGTCACTTTACCCTGTCAAGTCATGTCCCCATTTTTTGTCAGTTAACCCGTAAGGCTGACGGCTGACGTGGTTAAATTATCCCCCTATACTTTTTGGTTGTAAGTTGTCATGTGGAAAGCCAAACAACTTTGTACCCAAATCAAGTCTTGAAACAGTTGATCAAACAATATCAAACACAATATGACATCATGAAAACTCTGTAATGAGTTGGCTTATATTTTGGGCTTTGCCAAAGTACCATACACCCAACATTCAGCAGTTGATCGACCCAGGTGCCTCTTCCTCCTCCGGCACCTCCGATGGGCCAGGTTTGGCTTCGGCCTGCAATCGAAAGTTGTCATGTTTCACCAAAATTAATGATACAAATATGATATAATCATGCTGCCTCTCCCTATTGTTCCCCGAAATAATGCCAGAACGTTGTCAACAGAACCATCATTTTGCGGCAATGATTTGAACTCGCAAATGTCATGAAATGTAGATGTCATGAACTCGCGGACGCAATGTTTTGAAACGTACTGACGAATTGCAACCTTCTTCGGCATATCAAACAAAAAAAGTTTGTTCTTACTGGTGATATATTTAAGGTCTCTTTTGTTGAACCAGCCAACCAGGTATATCATAAGTGTCTCAAAAAGTTTCATGCAACACATGTTCTACTGGATTTGGCTTTCTTCTGACTTGGAGGATCGTAGTAACTGGTTAGTAACTCGTAAGTGGTTAATGAAGACCCATGTACACATGAGACAACCCCACTTTGGGGCTTGTTAACCATGGCAAATCATAATTTATTCCCAGTCACTCCCCATTTGTCGTAATTTGTTGGTAAACTCTTTTCCGCAGTAAATTCCAGTGTCTGTTTGGTAATCAACATGTTTCCTGCCAAAATCACTATCTTTGTTGGTTAACCAACCACCTCCCGCCACCTTCCAGCCCCCCGTCCCAACAGTCGTCACCTCAGCCGCCTCCAACAGTCGCTGTTCGGCCGCCAGTTGGTCTGCCACCTGAGACAGGAATGGTCCAAACCCGGGGAGGTTGCACGTTGACATACGTTGACCAGGTTACCAACTTGTGAAGCATCCAAATATTACAAATATAGATTCCGTACACATTAGATATTTGCAACTGATATATACACGTGCATAATCAAAGATATATTATAGTAATTTACAGTATGATACAGTATGTGTGTTTTCTCTGCCGGAATGCTAAAACAATTGAATATAAACTTTGTTGGGGGAACTTCCGATCTTTTTGGAAGGTTTGATTTCCAAATTATCGGAACCATCCTGTCCATTCACCACATAGTTCCACACCTCCTTTGGCATGGGCCATGGAGTCACATCAGCCTGGCTCTTTAAGGTGAGCTCCACCCCAAACAACGATCGATCTTTTTTTGGAAGGGCTTCTTAGTATTGGCTTAAAGCCATTAAATCATCACAGGTCAGGTCAATACCAATGTACTAGTCATGAAAATACATTGACATTGCGGAGACCCACATCCACACAAATCCAGGAATACCACATTTATATACATCAAATCTTTATTCATGGCATTTCATGGGGGGGCCTTCCAATGCCACATTTCCAATTTTGGGAAATTTCTCACCGCCCGCGGCGCACCTCCAAGGGCGGCACCTGCAGCGCGGCGCAGACCTCCTCCGCCGCCCCCGCGCTCACCGAGGCTAGGAAGGTGGTCAATGCCTAGCAAAAGCATGGGGGTTCAACCGGTTCAACCGGTTCAACCTGCAAAAAGTGATGGTCTAAGGAACAAACAAGGGAAGCTAACCAGTAATGAGAAGAAATGGGAAATTTACAAACAAACATGGTGATTGCGCCAACCAAAACCGAGCAGAAATCAACATGTGATCCAGATACTAAGTTTGGATCAAACAATGAGTGAACAAGTGCTGGAAAATATGGAGCTCACCGCATGGCTATACACCAAAAAAAAGGTTCACCCGCCAGCCACAGTATCTTGGCTCCAAACCGCCATCCTGCTTTTGAGACACTTAATGCTATATTCCCCATGTATCTTGTACAACAGTTGATTAAGTTTCATCTCTGGCTGTTGAATTGGCTTTCGAGTGGCGAAACGACCTTTTCCAGTGGACATGCAAGCTCTCCAATAAAATCAAACAAATAGATACATACCGTATGACCGACATATTCGCGAATAAACTGTTTACTGTATCTCTTTGTCTTCTTGAGGACCCCTATACATCCACATAGCATTCATGGCCCAAAACCTTTGTCTTTAGGCTTTACCCATGCCCAATCTCCCATTGGATGGGGGGCCTCTCTGGCGTGTGCGGCATCTTCCTTTGCAGCTCTGGGGTATGACCCCCTAGCACTGACCAGCCGGATGATCATAAGTTTATACCATTTCATTGTTGCAATGCCAGGCCTGAAAACTCTAAAGAAAATAGACACACCGGGCAAAAACCTGCCACCATGGCCGCACTATCTACCATAATTGGGAGAGGCATCCAGGATATCATAACATATGTATGTATGTATGTATGTATATACATGATACATATATATTCACAATCAAGCGACATCAGGAAAGTCTCACAAATCTTCCCACTTTGATGTTGTTATCTATACGTATGTTCAAAAAAGCAAACAACAACAATGTCAACAATGCTATTTTCAGATTGTCAACTCGAAGAAAAAAAAGCAAGAAAACCTCTCAACCTTCCCCAAATTTAGTCCAACCACCCCATCAGCCACGCCTGTGCATTAGGCACCAACAGCCGTGCCAATTCCACGCAGATTGACGCCAAGGATGCGCCAGGAACCAGCAACAAACGGACCTAAACTGTGGACATGGATGGACATGAGGATTACACCTGCTTTATTGAGGATTCATTAATTTCATGGGATGTAAAGAAGGGGAATATGATGGGATGTAATTGCCAACAATGGGTGTGTCTGGAAGTGGGGGTATACCCCGACCCCCCACTTTACAATAGGGCGATTTTATTACTGGACGATGTGGGAAAACGATGATGAGCGACGGAACATGATTTCATGGCAATTTCATGCAATTTGAATGATTTTGCGTATGGCCATGTCATTTTTGTGTGAAAACCAGGCGTTGCCACTGTATTCTAGAGTTTCAGACAAACCTACAAGTTGAAGCCGGAACATGGTAAATCACCGTCTACAGAAACCAACCAAGAGGGTGAGTTAATTACTCAAACTCAAACGTGAGTTGAAGTATCAAAACAATGGTGTCTTACTCAATCTCTGTCATTCCTTCCTGGGTGCATCCCATCAACGCATCCATTTTGGTTGACGATTGTTGGAGGCAGCGAGGGTTGAGTTCCAAAGGGCAAGCCAAGCGGCCAAGCACAAACCGCTGGTTGCAAGTTTGCCGGGTGTCACAGTATCACATGGGATCACCTTTTCCGAGATTATCCGTAGGGACCCATTGAGCAAGCGAACTAAGGTTTACCCAGTGGAACGATGGGGAAATGATGAGCCAAACGTTCGATGCCCAAGCCGCCACTGAAATGTTCTAGTCACCATGAAAAAAGGGCTGGTGGTTACCAAACGTTTGGAATTCCCTTTATGGTTTTTATGGACCTGTCACAAGCCCAGACTATCTTGGGGATTTATGAGAACAGCGGTACTAGTAGCTTTGATGTGACTGTGCCACTTGAGCCATGCGTAGGCTTGAAACACATCAGGAGAACTCTAACACCACTTGAATCAGACACCCTGAGGATTGAAATGTGCTCGCCTCTATCCATCCAACCTTCCAGGATACTTGTTGTCATAAGGTTTCTGAAGCCACGTGCCATGTTCAAAATCTTGAAAAAGGGATTGTCCTCCCACCCATACTTTCTGTTAACACCATGCGAAGTCTTCTGTTTGGATGACCTCACGAAGCGAACGAACGTACGTGATATGGGTCTACTAATAAGACTCAAGGATCCAGAGATTCGTCGTCAGTTTTGCCATTTCACTTCTTGCCGTTCCTACAAGGTCCCATGGCTCAGCTGCATCCAAGCAGCCGACGGGTTTGTGTCACCTCAGCAACGAGTCCAATGTTCATTGGATTTGGCCAGGCTGGTCATCCACCTGTGACATCTGGATGGTCATGCAGAATTTGATGAGCGAATATCATATTGTTGCCAGAAGCTGTTCCAAAGGCATTTCAGTCATGCATTACGTAATGAATCACCTATCAAGAAATCTACGACTTGGTGACTTGGTACACTCACAATCGCAACGAAGCGGCGTAGCCCATATGGTTTTTGTTATGTTTTGTTCTCCTCTGCTCATATTCAACAGTACCTTAAGATATATTGTTCAGGTCGAAATTGGCACCACGAAATAAGATGTCATCCATATCATGGCCAGCCTTAGATGTTAGTTAGTATCTATATGTATTTATTGTGTAGAGATGTGTAGAGTATCTATCCCCATCCATAGCAAAAGGTTAGCCTATATATACTAAACAAATGCCCTTGACTGTTTGGTTCACACTTTACACATCCTTCTACGAGTTTACCGGGTCAGGTTGGCTCACCTGATTTTCTAGGGAAAACATAGGTGAAAACAGATACTTGGGCCCTAGAAAAACACAGCTGGAAAAAAAATAAATACCACCTCACTAGAAAATCAGCACACACACAAAACGGCATTTTAGACCCTGAAATGCCCAAAATTTGGTAGAAAATTGAAACCTGATCCTTGGGCTCCGGCGAAAAATGCGGAGCTTGATGTCATAATTATTTAGCATCAACATCTGAGCTATGATATTCTAGAACATTCATGTCCGGCCTCCTCCCCTCTCCCGAGATTCGATTTTTTGGATTTTTTCGAACTTTTCGAGTCTTCTCTCAAAGCGTCCTCCAAAATGAGCCCTTCCCAGCCAATAGTCGCCATGAATTCAAATTCAGAAACAATCAGAAATATATCGATACATGTTGCTATGATAAACTATGATATTTTCATATATTTTAATATACGAGCTGGTATTTCATACTACCTCCGGGGCTTCGCAGCCTGGCCCGCCCCCCACATTTAAATGTCGTTACCGTACAGCATGCTGCAACTCTGTACAAAAACATACCGCCTCAGTTTCTTTCACTTCTTTCACTTCTTTCACTTCAGCAGTTTTTGGTCATAGAAGTTTCGAACAATGACTCAAAAGGAATGTGATTTTCTGGAAGTGACGCGCGCTGTTTTAAATCCAGTGCTTGATTTTCTAGAGGCCACAATTTTCCATACATGTGCCTCCCACATTTTCAAGACGCCTGCATCCAGGTCCATATTCGAAAACCATCGAAAACCGATATTCGAAATCGTTATTTTCACATATTGCCACAATGCGTCACATGTTTTCACATTGTACACATGTTCTCCATATGTTCATTTTTATATAACCCCATCCCAATGTATTTTAAGGTGTTTTCATGTTCTCAGATTTACCAGACTCGCAATTCTGGTTTAGGCGTTTTGGACTTGATTATAGAATATTTCACTATTTTTGGCGTACCCTTATAAAACAGCAGTTTTTGGTCATAGAAGTTTCAAACAATGACTCAAAAGGAATGTGATTTTCTAGAAGTGACGCGCGCTGTTTTAAATCCAGTGCTTGATTTTCTAGAGCCAGAATTTTCCATACATGTGCCTCCCACATTTTCAAGACGCCTGCATCCAGGTCCATATTCGAAAACCATCGAAAACCTATATTCGAAATCGTTATTTTCACATATTGTCACAATGCGTCACATGTTTTCACATTGTACACATGTTCTTCATATGTTCATTTTTATATAACCCCATCCCAATGTATTTTAAGGTGTTTTCATGTTCTCAGATTTACCAGACTCGCAATTCTGGTTTAGGCGTTTTGGACTTGAATATAGAATATTTCAATATTTTTGGCGTACCCTTATAAAACAGCAGTTTTTGGTCATAGAAGTTTCAAACAATGATTCAGAAAGAATGTGATTTTCGAGAAGTGACGCGCGCTGTTTCAAATCCAGTGCTTGATTTTCTAGAGGCCACAATTTTCCATACATGTGCCTTCCACATTTTCTAGGCGCCTGCATCGAGGTCCATATTCGAAAATCCATATTCGAAATGACTATTTTCACAAGTTTTCTGTATATTAATCATATTTCATTTTTAATCCCAATCTATTTTCATGTGTTTTCAATTTCTCTGATCTACCAGACTCGCAGCGACGCGCAGGTACTCAAAGTTCCAGCCCAAGCGCTTCGGATTGGCTGTTTTCCAATTGCGAGATGCGGCAAGTGTTGCAAACTTGGACAGGAGAGAGATGGGACTAGATTTTAAGCATGTTTAAACAAAACAAAATGACCTACCAGTGCCCCTCTAGAAAATCAGGGACCACTAGAAACTCTAGGAACGTCCTCCCAGAGATGCTAAAATTATGCTCCTGGATTTTGGGCACTTAAGCTACCCAGAAAATCAGGGTCTCCCGACTCAGAGGTCTCCAAAAGTTGTTCTGTAGAAAATGAGGGGGTTGATAAATGCAGCCTTTCATCAAAATCGAAGAATTTTCGCGCCAGATTATCAGTCCTTCTTAGGGGGGTTGACCCCCCTGAAATCCTAGAGGAAACTCACACCGGTATTTTCAGAAACATAAGTCTAACTCAACTAAACTAGAAAGACAGAGCCCACTAGAAATTCATAGGCTGACTCTCCAAAATTGGGTCCGTAAAATCCGCATCTTCCGCGCCAGAAAGTTAGGCAGTTAACGAGCCGGATTTCCTAAGGAAAAGGGAACCAGTATTCAGAAACATAAGCCAGAACTAGTTAGGCAGTTAAAACGAGCCGGATTTCCTAAGGAAAAGGGAACCAGTATTCAGAAACATAAGTCTAACTCAACTAAACTAGAAAGACAGAGCCCACTAGAAATTCATAGGCTGACTCCCCAAAATTGGGTCCGTAAAATCCGCATCTTCCGCGCCAGAAAGTTAGGCTCTGTCAACTTTGAGGTGCTTAAAATAGCCACGCTAGAAAATTAAGGCCCCTATGAAAGCAGCCGATCCCCAGAATACAAACCTGGGATGACTAGGAAATGAAGGCTTACAGGGGGGTTGACCCCCTAGACTTTCTGGCGGAAACTGGTAAGAGGATCTTTACACATTGACCCCTATGTTCCCCATCTTTGCAAGGAACTTCTCATTTTTTCTTGGTGAACTAATACAACTAATCTACGCCGTGAATCGCCAAGTCGCCAAGGCCAGACCTTCCCCCGTTGTGATCGTTGTGCCAAGGTGCTGCAGCTGCTGCACCCTTCGAGGTACGAATCCGCCTCCAGCTCCGTGACGAAGTCCGGGAGGCGGCACTGCAGCTGCAGTGGAGCAGCCACTTCCTAGGCGCTGGCGGGGCGACAGCCAACATATGCCAACATCATATATGAAATACATCGACATATATGCTTTATGTGGTTTATATATATATAATTATATATATATATGATTCATATGTATCTATGTTTGTATATTAGTATATGTATGCATGTCTGTGTATGTATATGGAATTGTCTGAAACAATCATGACCTCAAAGGCCAGGCTCCCACTGGCCTAACCAAAGGTTTTAGTGTGAATCTATGTTGGTCACATTCGAAACCAACATGTTTCGAAAGCCTCCAGGTTGTTTGATTTAATCCTGTGATTGTTGGTTGGACCCAACTATTTCCACCTGCTTATACGTGGGTCAAACTGTCGTATCCTAATTGACATGGTTTACTGCTAAGGATGTCTATCGATGACTAAAAACATGTAGTTTCTGAGAGTTTTTTCTTGATTCGTACATGATTTTTCACGCCGAACATTGTGGTCCGCACCCCCTGCCAGCCCAGCAACGACCACTTGAAGTTTCTCCAACCACGCGGCTACATGCGACGCCTTTAAAAGTTGCGGCGCCCATTTTCTCCACTCGACTTTGACTTCCAAAACCAACAGTTTAACCAGGAAAGTTAGGCACCTTGCACTGATTAATCAATCAGTCCGTTTTAGTGTCATCATTGATGAGGTTAGTCTTGAGGTCACTGAACATTTGTCCAGATTCACTGCACATCCCTTGGACTTTTTCTAAAAGGCCAAAGATTTCATACTTCATCATCATTATATCATTCCTATAAAAATGAAAAACAAGTAAACACATGTAAAATCATATAAATACATCTAAAGACCACTCATTTGGAAGTAAAGCCATCTTTTTTCCTATATCCGAATTGCTGTTTTGGGCTATAACCACCCATCTTTTTGGCACGTCCACAGTGGCACCTCAGGTCGATGGTACACCTTCGGGTGTCGCGCCAGCAAGTAGCGCTGCGCAGGGACCAGCATCTCAGACACAGCACGTCCCAAGGCCTGGGCTGTTCCATTCCTGGTTGGGAAATCATCGAACTCAATGGGGATTCAGTGGGGCTTTCATAAGGATATAATGGAGATTTAATGGAGATATGATATAACTATAACCAACAGTCAAAGATGGCTGGCTAGCTGGGAAATCCCGAAATGACAATTTGAATGGAAAATACCATCGAACTAAATAGGGAATTGTCCAGCAAACCATGTTTGAGTACCAGAGGGTATCCCTATTGGTGACATCGGGAGACCAATCAAATGATTAGATGTCATTGGTTATGATCTAAATTTAAGCAGCTTATGACAACAGTATATCTGATCTAATTTACACTACTGTAAATATTGTGATCTAAGATAATCTCACCAGAAACATCCAGAAACAAATTATGGATATGTCCATTTGTGTACAAGGGTGATTCAATCAACCAATTGTTACCCGCTGCTTTCGGTTGGTTGTCTAGGCTCCCAGGAGAATCACGATGGGGTATCCGCACAATTACAAACCACTAACCCAAATCGCCAGTTAATCATTGGGTGATTTAAGATGATCTACCAAGAAATCAATGTATATATATATAATGTATATATATATACACATATATATATACACGATTCTGTACAGTATGATGTAGTGAACATGCTGTTATTAATTAATTAACATATATATATGTATACATATTTATATGGGTGCGAACACCAACACATTGCAGATGGATGCAAATGGTGTGAACATGAACATTTCGGGTGTGACATCTAGTGACTAATACCCCTTATTGGTTGGCCGAACATTGCGTCAAAAATATAGTCATCCCCCAAAGCTCCAATGTCAACCAAGAATGGACTGACTTTTGTTGAGCCTCCCGACGCTGCACTTGGCAGTCCCTGCGTGCTGAACTGAAACCTGACAGACCTTGCGCAAAGCTGCTGGGACTCCTTGGTGAGGTAAATTTCCAAGAAAATTCCCCTCAGGCCCTGTCATGGTGACAAAAGATGCATCAGGTATATTGAAGAAGAGATGATAACTCAAGCAGGGGTCAGGGCTTCACTCAATTTGACTAAATTTTGGCATCACATTGAAGCCAAGGATACTTGAAATACAATTGGATCTGCCCCCACAAATTGGGACACCACAGCGTCTTGTCTCTGTTTGAAGTAGGCAACTTGAAATCGATAAATCGTTTTTATATCAAAACAAAACAAACTTGAAGCTGGCTCGAGACAGAAGAAAGTTTTGCTGTATGTCAAAAGTGCTCTGGGTATCCTGCAGCTTTGTTTTTCCAAGTGCTCTGGGTATCCTGCAGCCATTCTCCGGTCACCCAATAGTTCAGCGGCAAGTGGCTGACGACAGCATGGGCAAACCCAGGGCTCGACAAAGGAGAGGCCAATGCCTGAGCGCTGTTGCAGAAACCTCATGGGTATCATGCGGCTATAAAGTCATCCCTGCTGTTCACCCAACAACAAACAACCTCCAAGAAACACTGAGTAGTAACGGATGCGTTCATCCTGAGATCTCATAATAACAGCAAGCTCCCGGGCAATGGGATTATATGCACCTATTTCCAGTGCCGAAAGATGGAGTGCTGTAAGTTTGATTCCTTGCATCCCTAAGGCTACCGTCAAGGTTTGGTACCCGACATGCAACTGAACAGTGCAACAGGAACATTGGAAAGTCGCATACAATTGTTAACACTTGTCTCATGATTGGCTACGCACCTAAAAGTCAAACTCTAAGATTCAGGGAACCACGCGCACAGAGACTTGACCTCTACCTCTACCCAATATCAAGCCCTTGGTTGATGATGACATATCAAAGTTGGATACATACACGTACTTATCATACTTGCAGTACAGTACAGATATCACAGTATATCACAGTATCTTTTCCAGGAAATTACAGTACACAATCTTAGTACAACGTGATACAACCATTAATAAAGACAAAGACGCATAAAGTATCAGCGGAATACCGTATAGACAATGCTGGCAAATATGTGTAACAAAAACTCAACCCCCCAAATAGTATCCTCAAAAATCATCAAACATCTCCGTATCAATCATGATGGGCTGTACGTTGAACCTCATTGACAAAGGCCCTCAACTCAAGGTTTTAACCCATAAGCTGAAATGTAAATAAACTCTCCAGCCAGTTTTTTCTGGTTCAATCCCCGTGCTTCGTCATTTTTTTTGGTAAAATCCAAATAAATGTTTTCTAGTTGAAAACGCATTCTTTAAATTAAATCGAATGTTGTTGGTTAAATTCAGTTCTTGTCTTGTTCAATTAAATCCAGTTGTCAGGATTTAAGATTTAAGAAAGAACAAACCAGTTTTATTTTGTTGGTAGGATTTTGTCCCTATCGATACCCAAATTTCCTGACTGAGTCTCCATTCCTAAAATCACAAGTTGTATCAAGTTGCTACTGTTAATCATGTTTTTATGAACAATTCCCAATATTACCCTACCCATGCTTGTTGGTCAATTCCCAGCGAATCCGTAACAATTCATGATAAAATCCAATCATTTTGGTTGTCTCAGTTGTCTCTGTTGCTTAAATTCCTGTTCTACCGCTACTTGGTCCCCTTAAAAGCCTTAAAAGCCTTAAACCCACCCTCCCAGGCTGTCGCTGGGGCACTGCCGCACTGCCGCCGTGGGCGGCGTCTCCGCCAGGTTCACGTCGGCGTCGCGCAGCCGCAGAAGCAGCGGCGACGGCAAGACGCCGTCGTCGACGAAAACACCTGGGGGCCACGGCCACGGCGAGTGCAGTTTCAGTTGGGAGATATTTTGTTCAGATATTGCTATGGACTGAAACTGGGATGTCAATGAACATCAGCCAACACATGCTTATTTTACCGGGGTTAGTGATTCTGAGCCATACACATACTTGGGTTTGCAAAAAAGCACACATACTCCCAATTGATTCCATATTTCTGGTGGATTAACCAATGGCAAAAGACTGGAACAGCTAGCATAACTTCAACTAATCTTAAACTCTGGAACCAGTGACAACATTGGCTGATGGGGGAATCAACTATCACGAAATACTTATTGTTTAGCCAGCAATTGTCCATGGTGCAAGGCTACCAACAATTACATACCCTTCGCAAACACATGCACCATCGACAAACCCTGACACAGTTGGTTTCGGGCTGTATTACAAACCCTGCACCATACCCTGACCATGTTCACTGGTGCGAGAACTCTGCTCTGGTCGAAACAAATGCCTGCTGTAAAGTTGCAGCTAGGGTCAGCCATGACAATCATGACAATTAATTCCGTCCAAGTAATGATACGAGTACCATTCCCTAATATTCCCTACATATGAGATCCCCAAATGAACAAATCCACCACATTCCACCGCGTCAGCCATAAACCAAGTGATTTGTTTCCACAATAAAATTACCCCAGTACATGCTGACATGTTCTGATTACAACAGCTATGATTCAACCTTAAGATCCTTTACCATTAGTTCCTGTTCAAACAAAAAATATCAAGAACATCAGGTCCCCACATCCGCTCCGATGCGGTCCCCTGGGCGTAGGGCCGTCTTTGGGTGTTCCCAAACGCTCCCGCAGCAGCGGGATGCAGCGTCGTAGCTTCAGCTTCTCAGCCAGGTCCTTCCAGACCTGGCGGCTGGGCTGGTGTTATCCTCTGCCATGGCATAGGGATAGTATGGCCTGATCCTATAGCATTGTATTTATAGATCAATATCATGGAATATCATGGAAGATATGGAGTCTAATGGGATAGCATAAGTGATACAGGGGGTCTGATTGATGGTTCAAGGTTGTTGTAAGTTGCAACCCTGAAAACCAATAGAATCGAATACATATCCACCGCTTAGTATGGATGCTATCATTTCCAAAATTTTTGATATGCTACTGTATCATTTTTGGTTGTCATATTTGCGCTCGTAGGCTGAACACAGGCCATTGCAAGATCTGGAATGCTAGACGCGGGACAGAGCCTAAACTTGGCAATGAATAAGTATCGAAAATGACAAACAAGTATAGACAAGTCTTACACTGGCTGTTTTGAGGAGATGATCTTTTTCGTCAAACACAAACATGAGCTGAGTTATCTGAAGACCGAGTTTGCAAGTGCATGCAATGCATTGCACAAATCCTCCCATCCTGAATAGTATATACGTACATAAAGTACGCGACAATATATATATATATTATATAATGTATATATATATACATATGTATATACATATATTCTATAACTACAAGCATGCACAGTTTGTAGTACACATCCTGCAGAATACACACATACTGATACATTTTGTCTATGTGTCTGTGGACTGCACGTACTGACACATACTGTAACATGTGATACATTCATCCACCATCATCCACCCACTTCTCCCTTCCGACTCTTCTGTACTGCACCTGCTGTCATTTCTGGGTTTATACTTTTTTTTGTTAGGTCATCTATTTCAACAGTTCAGACTTCTGGAATTGAGTGGGTTGGTCACCATCTGCACCCATCAGAATGGATAGTTTAAGCCAAGAAATCAGGATCGCTCTTGTCCGTTGGTATTGGTATCCCAGCTACTTGGACAAACATATTCAAACGAATCTGCGTTTTGAATCCCCATGTTTCCTACTTAGATCCCAGAGTTTGACCGTAGAACCAAGCATCTTTGATGGCTATACCGGCTATACCACCATAAATTGGGGTTGGGTTGGTTAAATCTATGGGCATATTTGATGCATCTGCGTAATCCATGATAACCCAACTCCAAGTGATATTCTATATATATATAAATTATAAGGATGCTGCATGGTGCTGGTAGATATATTATGATATACTTAGGGTTCACTTGGATAGTTCCAGATCAGAATCTTCCATTTGTAATTGTATTGGATTATGTTTGGAGTATTGTGGTTAGCATTTGGAATCCGATATCCTGACAAAACCATACAATACCTCCATTATATCATTACATCATGTTACTTCCTTATTATCCCATTATAACTACCCATTTTTGAAATACCATACAATACCTCCAGGCTATGGTGCCTCCTTCTCCAAATTTTCCGCCAGCAACAGCAGCGGCGCCCACATCGCCGAGCCCGACGCCGACGACGAGAGGCGGTCTACGTGTCGAAGGACCTGCGGTGGCGGTGGTGTAACTTTTACCATGGATAGCTTAATAAATCTCACTTGAAAGCAAACAAATAAGGTGCTAAACCACCCCCAAACAAAATGTTTGCCATGTTGGCGACACAACAATGTGGGATTTATTCAAGAACCACATGGTTTTGGTGATCAAACAAGTTGGGATTTCTATGATTCATTAATTCAAGAAACATAGGAGGATTTTACCTGGTGACGAAAAAAAAGGTACTTGGATGATGCCCGAGGTTTGATCGATACGAGGATTTGCTAGGCTGGTTCCAGTCCCCAGAATGAACAGATTAGTATTATAGATGCACCAGCGCTGGTGGGTCAACAGATCAGGAAGAAACAAATGGCCTTCAGAAAACACAAAAAACGCATGATATGAGATGTTGACGCATGTTTGGCCCCGACATATTTCGACCCAAGAAATTGTTGATCAAGGATGGGCATGTACTCACCATAAACATGGGATGAAACATGAAACAAACCATACCGCGGATACAATCAACACGACACCTTCACCTGAAGCGTAGTTTCCAAGGTTGGTGGTACACAGCCGGTAATGTTGCCTGTTTAAAGACAGGAACCCCTGGCCACATTGTCATAGGGAACACCATGGTGTCCGTCTAACATTTTCTTAAATTACTGTAATCGTTTGGTTCTTGATTTGGGAATGAGTCAAAGTCCTGCATCCCTGATGAACACCAAATCTAGCTGGTAGATGAATGTCCATCCCCTAAAAATGGTGTTTGTAACTATTGATCCATGTCCATTTATGGTTCTTGACATATCTTCTTAAGACACGACCCTCGAGGTTGGGTGCTCCACAATGCTCCACCATTGCAACTATCACAAAGTCATCTTAAGATAAATATTCGGACCCGATTCGGACCCCAAGATCCACTGCTTTGCACAAACCACTTCTTGACAGATACTCGTTGTCTCGCTTCACAAGCAGTCCGCATTCCGAACAAGACTCCTGAAGTTGATCCTTTTTTTTCCTGTACACAGTAGCTCCCCATCCTGCAGTACAACGCCATCCCAATCTCCAGCGCCCCATCTGACCTGGTCCGGGGTGGGCGTTTCCGGCACACCCAGCAGCGACACGAAGAAATGCCTCCAGTGCGCCTCAGGGTGGACATTTCTCGTGACCATTGCAGCTGTTTGCAATTGAGAAAAACATGGTTAGGAGTTTGTCCAACGCCAATCCTGACGCTCAAAGTTAACTGCTATGTATATGTATATATATATATATAAATTCATATGTATATACGAAAATATAATATAATATAATAAAATATAATATCATATGATTTAATATAATGTAATATTATATTATATTATATAATATAATAAAATAAAATATAATAAAATATAATATAAAAAATAAAAAATAATATAACATAATAAAATATAATATAACATAATATAATATAATATAACATAATATAATATAATATAATAAAATAAATTATGATAAAATAAAATAAAATATAATATCATATAATATAATATGATATAATATATGTACATTACATGTACGTATATATATATATGCACAGTTAAGCACATAGATATACACTACAGTACCTACATTTATAGATTGATAAACAATGTATATGCCCGAAGTATCCCGAAGTCTTGTTCAAGGCATTTTTTACAGTTGCTCAAATATGAATCATTATGAATCATCATTGTAGCGAGGTGCTTTGAAGTCGCTATAAACATCGGGTGTGGGTTTATAAATACGTACCCTTATCTATATACTACATAGGTGGGTTCCGGCATCTAGAAACATCCAGGTGAATTTTGGGGGTGCCCTGCTTCAATAGCTAACTTTTCTGGATAATTACCATTCTTATGAAAAACTTGGTAGAGCGGAACACTTGCAGGAAGTAGCCGAGAGATGGCTGTCTAATCATGATTGGTTCTGGGCGCATGAAAAACTCTTGAGCATTCATAATTCAAGCAAACCCAAATTCCAAAATAGGGGATTTAGAATATGATTTAGCCAATTCTGTTAAATTTCGCGAGCTATGGGGTTTTAGGGGGTTTTGCAGACCCTATAGGTTTAAAACGGGTTTGTCACCCGACAACGGTTTTAGAGCACATTAGCCGTGAGGGTAAACTTGGCACAACGAGAAATCAGCAAAAATTGGTGTCAGCATGGGCTTGCAAGCCTTGAATTTGTCAAAAACAAAAGGGATTCCATATGATTTACAATGATTGCCTCAGAGCACAGCAGGTTCTGCATTTTTTTGTGCAACCAATACTGTTCTGAATGCCGGGGAATATCGGAGAAATTTGGATAATATGAGCACCCCCTGTTGCAGGCCGCTTTTTCCCCATACCCGCATACCCCTCGCGGCTTGGGGCTGTCTCAGCCATCTTTTCACATAGATACAGTGATACCATCGCCACCGTCTCAGAGTCATGTCAATCTGTCTCAGCCTCACTTGGCTTTGGTTTTCTTAGATTTTTTGGGCGAATTGTCATCCATGCGATTGCTGGATCGTTTTTTGGATCCCGAAGCCTTTTCCTCTTTCTCATCTTTATCCTTCTTCTCCTTCTTTTTCTTTGTTTCCGGAGCCTTCTGAGTGCCGCGTCTGTTGGGTTCTGCTGGCTTTGTCTCGGGATCGTCCATCTCAACTTCTCTGTTGTTCTTGGCCAATTCCTTTTTCTTCTTGTCATATTCATCCTTGTCCATGCCCGGTGGCGTGTAGAAGCCTGTTTTGGGCACTTCGTACTGGCTGAAGAAATGCTCCTTCGGGCTCTTTTGCTTCGCAGCTGTTGCTGCCGGGCGCTCCTTCGAGGTCTCAGCTGCGGAGGCTGCTAGCTCCTTTTTGGAGCTTGGTGAAACTGGTTGGGTGTCTTGCCTTGCCACCTTGGATGGAGGTTCCGGGATCTCTTCTTCGGAGGTGATTGCTGCTCTTGTCTCAGGGTGGTCTGGTTTCTCTTCTGCAGTGTCTGCAGCTTGTGCAGGTGCTACTGCATCATCTTGCAAGGCGGTCTCCTTTGGAACTGGCTGCTCCTGTGCTGGAGCGGGGGCTTGAACTTCGGGTGCTGTCTGTGCTTGGTTCTCTGATAGCAAGGTGGCTGCAGATGCTGCTTCATCTGGCAAGGCGGTCTCCTTTGGAACTGGCTGCTCCTGTGCCGGAGCGGGGGCTTGAACTTCGGGTGCTGTCTGTGCTCGGTTCTCTGATAGCAAGGTGGCTGCAGGTGCTGCTTCATCTGGCAAGGTGGTCTCCTTTGGAACTGGCTGCTCCTGTGGTGGAGTGGCTTGAACTTCGGGTGTTGTCTGTGCTTGGTTCTCTGAAAGCAAGGTGGCTGCGGCTGCTGCTTCATCTGGCAAGGCGGTCTCCTTTGGAACTGGTTGTTGCTGTGATGCAGCGGGGTCTTCAGCTGTTGCTTGCTTTTGCTCCTCTGTCATGGTTTCCTGCAGAGCAGTGGCAGCGACTTCAGCTGCTGCTTGCGTCGGAGTGGTGGCTGCAGGTGCTGCTGCAATCTCCTCAGTTGGCTCTGCCTTTGGTGCAGCGGGGTCAGCGTGGGCTGTTGCTTGCTTTTGTTCCTCTGCGACTGCTGCTGCTGCTTCATCTGGCACGGGGGTGTCTTCTGGGATTGGCCCTTCCTGTGTTGCAGCGGGGGCTTCAGCTGTTGCTTGTTTTTGTTCCTCTGTCACGGGTTCATGTGGCGGAGTGGAAGCTTCAACTTCGGGTATTGCTGTCACTGATGCGGCTGCAGGTGCTGCTTCATCTGGCAAGGCGGTGTTATTTGGAACTGGCTGTTCCCGTGGTGCAGCGGAGGCTTCAGTTGTTGCTTGCTTTTGCTCCTCTATCACTGGTGCTGGCGGTGCAGCAGGGGCTGTGTGCTCCTCTGCCGCCATGGTGTTTGCAGGTGCTGCTTCGTCTATGGAAGGTTTTTCAGCTGGCTGTTCATGTGGTCCAGCGGGGGGTGCTGCTGTCTGCTGATCTGTGTCCTTGCGCTCTTTGGTTGCCTTTGCCGTGGTGGCTGCATCTGGAGCCGGTGCTGTTGATGCGGGTTGGGCTTGGCTGGCCACATTGGCCTGGTTGTCCAGAAGGTCAAGGAGCCTCTCAGTGCTTTCTGAAGCGGGCAGTTCCTCGTCCGGGTCCCCAAGCCAAAAGTCATCTTCATTGTTGTGGTCGCCGTCACTGCTTTGACTTTGGCCATCACTTTCAACGTCGTCAGCCTGGAAGATGGCAATACCACACTGTTGCTCTGCCAGTCGAGCGCTTCATTCTGATATTTGGCATGGTTTTAGTTTTGTTATATTACATTGCATCTTTGATGTAAACCTAATCCTGATCTAAAACAAAATTTGGAATTTGTCTTTGAACTGACCTGGGCCTTGGGGCTTGGACTGTGAATTCACACTACCAGCCGGTGGCCAGCTAAAAAAAAACATAAAGTGATGTGTTGTAGTACATGTGCATCAAACTAGTGGCAATGGATACATTGGTCATGCGTGGGTGGGCCACGCGAATGAATGAATGGCCAAAGCTGGGCCATGGTTCACGATTTACGGGCAAAATCAAACTCATGACCAGGCAGTCGGCATAGTGTCATGCCTGTGGTGACTCGAATGGAGTTATGGTTGTTGTATGACGTTTTGAAAATTGCCGTTTGAATGTGAATGTAATTAAATTATTATGGGAAAACAAAAACTAACATACCCTGTAACCCTGTCCATCCCCATCACGGCCCCCATCCACTCTCCACCTAGGGTCATAACTCATACAGGCCTTGAGACTACAAAGTTGGGAATTGTGTGTGTGTGTGTTGCGACAGTTCGGTGTCTTTGTCCTCGGGGTCTGGCATGTCGTCTGCCCTCTTAGAATTAAACTAGAGCTAGAGTCGTCTTCAGTCTTCATTATTACAGGACGGCAGTATATATTATCATATTGTTATATCATACCATCTTATTCCAACTAGGTTTGGATGGGAGAAGGAGACAGAGGAGAGAAAGGAGAGAGAGAGAGAGAGAAAAGAGAAAGAGAAAGAGAAAGAGAGAGAGAGAGAGCTGCGGCGTTGGCCACAGAATGGGCTCAATATGATATCGACCCAAGAAGCAACCATTGTAGTTGTAGCTTTGGCCACAGAGTGGGCCCAAGATGGCTCAAGCAGCAATCATTGTAGCTGTAGCTTTGGCCACAGAGTGGGCTCAAGATCAGTCATGCCACAATCATTGTAGCTGTAGCTTTGGCCACAGATGGGCTCAATGATGAGCCATGCAACAATCATTGTAGCTGTAGTTTTGGTCACAGAATGGGCTCAAGATGGCTCAAAACACCAACGCCCCGGATGCACAACAAAGCCCAAAGTCCCAGCCCGGCCCGGGGCCCGGCCCGGGGCCCGGCCCGGAAAGAAGGAATTGAAGGAAGGAAGGAACGGACCGGAATTTTGGAGGTACATTAGGTACATTTACATAAATATATAAATATATATATATATGTATGTAAAATTATATATATATATATTATTTATATATATATATATATTACATTAAATATATTAAATATGTTCCACGATTCCGCGATTAACGTCCCGATAAAAGCACCAGCACCAACCAATTCAATCTTTATAAATTAACATACCCAAAAATTAGTTGGCTTAGAATGGATTGCGTTGAGTCTCCAGATTCCAGGTAAGCTAGTTGCCCTGCCTTCGCCACCAGCGCCAACCCTGTAGTGTCTGTCGTCTTCCCTTCCGCCTGACAATGTTGAAGCGTAAAGGGACAGAGTACCAAGTGAACTTTTTGAACCAATGAATCAAAACCAAATCAATGTCGAAAACAGCACAAATCATATTACGAGTTTGAACTTGACATTTGAAACTTTAAACGGTCAGTTCAAACAGGTAAAATCGAACTTGTGTTGTTTTCTTTGGTGTGTTACAATCTTTAGTCAGGGTGTCGCGTTAAATGCTACAAGAAAGTCACAAAACCATTTGGCACCAAACAACCACTCGCACCTGCATTGACCTGCATATTGCATGTTGCACATGACATATTTTCCAAAAAATGCAAACTATTGAACCAAGATAGTTTGTGGATGGCATTGGCACTGGGGCCAAGGAGTCCGTAACACAACAAACCCACTAACATAAATAGAATATATGTTGGTAATATAAATATAGCTTGCGCCCACACAACAACACTGTCATGCTCTGTGCGGTCCTGTTCTTCCTTCACTTGTCTTTCCAAGTCCATCTTCAAGATTTCTTCCATGCCGTCAAGAATGGGATTCAACCTCCTGTGCAACGGCTTGTCAATAGAATGACAGAAGATCCTCATGGAAGGAATGCACTCCAAGGGCATCACCGCCACGGGGACTCGCCTAGGCATCTTCAGTTGTGCTTGGGGTAGTTTGGTGGGAATGAACAGTACATCAACATGCCATGGATTAGTTGGATATGTTGAAGTTGAAAACCGCGTAAGCAGCCACTTACAATAGAAAAATATGGTCTAAACCTCTATTAGCTGCCTCTTGGAAGGCATGTATTGGTCGAAGTTCAAAGTTATGGGTATAGCATGGTTATGCTCCGTGTCAGTGTCACAAGTTCACACCAATGCCACAAGAACAAGGAGATACCTAAGGAGCGCACAAGCAGATCGAGTCCTCATTAACGGTCTTATCAACGATAAGCATCCCTGGTGGCGTGTACGTAATGTCACCAGGTTTGATGACTGCTGCTCGGAGAGATGGAATGCGATCCGCTGCGTTCAAATTGTCCAGGTCCAGTCTGAGAAAGAAGGAAGAACATCGATCGAAGGATACCTGTTTACAAAGGAGGACGTCTCAGGACCCAGGAGCCCAGGAGTTCAGGAATTGTTTTACCTAAATATAATACCACAATGCCACAATGACAACCCTATTCACAACGATGACAGGACACTTTAGGAAATATGTGGATATGAAAATGTTGGACACAAAGAGCAATCATGCGCTGAGACATGAAAAGAACAAAAATGCGATGTTAGTGCCGGGAACCCAGAAACTCTGGACTTCATCAATTTTCAAAATTACCCATCAAAAAAATAACAAACATGCTGTTGGTTTGCCAATGTTGATTTCCATGGTGACGTGATGTTTGCAGCATATTCCCACCCCAGGCTGGGCCCATCCCAACCCGGCTCCAAGGCCAGGCCAAACTTGAAGCTTGAAAGCGTAAACGTAAACCATCAATAATCATCCAGGCTCATCCAGGTCCAATTTCCAATTTGTAGTATGGGTACTGTTCTGGCTACTATACAGTTAAGAGTTCGACGGTCTGAGTCTGAGTCTGGTTAGTTAGTCTTGTTGAAGTTGATGTCGTCTGTCGTCCACATCGATGTCCAAAAAAACATTTTATATGTCACTCACCCGTTGACGCCCACCGTTCTTTGTGGGTGCGGTCCCGCCATGCCCCACAAGCCTCTTCAGGGTCATCATCCCCGGACTTCTCACAAAGATACTTCCTGATATCATCAACAAGGGCCATGGCAAGGATCCTGTTGCCTTCCAATTGGAGACGGACACCTGCCAAACCATTCAACTCCACGCCATGATGGATGAAATCCTTGCGCTGTCCAGCCAGAAACAAGGACTCATAGTATGCTGTGCATGCGGTGTCGTCGGCATCAGAGAATCCACTCGCTGAAGCATCCCTTGGCACAGCCCATGGTGTCACGGCGTCAGATCTAAGTAATTGGTATTTATTGAAAGCCAAAGGTATCCACACAAATCAAATCAATGGTCCATACAATCCTGACGGAAACCTTCTGCCATTATGCCATGCGCCCGTGTGGCATGCATCATGTGACACATGCTTGGAAAGTCGTAAGTCGTAGTCGTAAATAATAAAACTATATACAAGTAATGAGATAAATTTGGGCTCACTGTCACTTGTCCCTGAATTCACTGAAGTCACTAAATGTCAAAAAGATTCTGAATCAGATTGATTCTGATTTTGCCTACCCCGTCATGCCAGCCCCAAACGGTTTCATACATGACTGCGTCCGTAAAGCAATAGAAAACAAAAAACACGAATCATTATCTGGATGTTGTGGACCTGAGCAAGATGGGCGAATGAGGCTCGGACACTACTTCTTCCGAAACAAATGGCCAGTCAGATGTCCCAGGGATCAATCCCAGTATGTCGGTGCGTGTGGTGACCAGCTCTTGCTTGTCATCAAGGTTGGCTCCTGGATTGCAAAGGCGGATTCTAGCTGGATTCACATGTCATCTGATCTGCTAATGGTTTGTAAGAATGGTGGGCAGGACATTGAAATAGGTAATTGGCAATTCAAAATGCATTTCATCATAGTCATGAAAAAACTGAAATTAAACTTTTTTAAAGAAATGAAAGTTGGGGTATGCAATGTGTGATTGAAACCCAAGTTTGCTTGATGTTTGTGATGTCAAGCCGCTGGTGGCGCACAAAAAAGTGGAGAATAGGGTTCATGATTGCGCTTTGGCATTGGTACCATGACTTGGTCACCTGACCTGGCCATCTTAACCCACGATACATGAAGTGTAAGTCTGGGGTTGGAAGATCCGATTCTGCGAAGAAAAGGGCACTAGTGGCTGTTGGCTAGAACCTGGCCCATCACCCAATTTTGTCCTGGTGGAAGTAGATTTGCTTGGATCTTGTCCTTGGCCTTTGGCCATTTGCCCTTGAAGTTGGTCACCTGTGCTGTGACCATAGTGCGCACGGTCTCATCCTTCCAAACTGTTTTGTAGATGTTTTTGCCTCGCCTGGCATGACAGGACCAAGGGGAAGCAATAGGGCCTAGGGGTTCAATGCTAGGCTGAATGTGCAGACGGGTTGGTAGTCCGGAAAAAAATAGTGACATGTCACTATGTCACCAAAGTGTGTTCTCCGTCATTAAAAGGCACAACCCAGGACCTGTGCCCTGCACTGAAACCTAACGATCCTATACTCCAAACATTGGCAAATGTCAAAGGGTCACCGGTCGCAGGGCCTGGCCTCAGGATGAATGGCTTGTCACCCCCCCTGCAATTTTTCAAAGTTTCAAACGACGATGCTTTCTCAATGTCCATGTGTTTGGTAATGGACCTGTGGATTTTGATGATGCTTGGGTCGCTCGTGGCGGCGAAGTTTGGGAGCTTCGTTGCTTTGACCTTTGCTTTCGCTGCCTTCCTATCACTCGCCGACTTGGCCTGCTTGGCTCTCAAGGCCGCTGCTGTCTTGATTGTGTTCAAAGCAGACTGCATATCGGTGATGCCCTTTCTGAGCGCATTGCCCATGGAGCGATAGCCACTCAAGATAAGACGGACTTTCTTGGACTGATCCTCAATGCCATTGCGTGTGTGCTCCCCTTCCAAAAGGAAGCCCTTCAAATCCATCAACAGCAAATTGCATGGCACAGCGACTGTGGCAAACTCCTGTGGAAGGAACCCGCCCTTCCTGAAACAAGCGGCTTTGTGAGTGCGCACAAAAGAATACAATACAAAAATGCGAACACATTGGAAAGCAGGAGATCTGTAAGATGTTTACCATGTAACATTTAACTGTTGAATTAACTAAAATCCTGTCAGATGTCAATGTCCAAGTCCGTCAAGTTGTCAGGTTGTCAGCTGTCCTGTCACTGTCAGTCAAGTCAAGTCAAGTCAAGTCAAGTCAAGTCAAGTGTAAATGTGTCTATGTATCTATGTATCGGGCAATGTGTCAATATGTCATGTGAAAATTTCTGTGTATACATTTTAGTCACTAATATTACGGTCTCAGTCTCAAGTCTTAAGTCTTGAGTCAAAGTCCTTGGTCCCAGGTCCTAAGTCTCAGTTCAACATGTCTGACATGTCTTTAAATTTCCTTTCAACAGTTAGAACCCATGACTAGGTGTAAGTTACTGTTAGCAATGATTCTGGTGTATGCATCACGGGTTCCAAACTCTGTCCAGTGGACGGGGCACCGTGGCGTGGCCGTGGGCAGCCGTGGGCAGTGGACAGTGAACAGAAAACATGCTAAAATCTGTAAAATCTACAACAGCAAACACTGTAAACTGTAATTGTATATTCTGATTATTCTGTGAGGTGAGTTGTAGGTTGAAAAGTCCAAAGTTGACATGACATTGTAAGGTTATAACAATTGAATTGTAGTAATTGGTATGATTTCCTTCCCCTCTGTGTGTTCATTCCAGGTACACACCTCCCACAAGAAAATTTCTAAAGTGGCCCTCGTGTTTTTGTTGCATATTTGCTAAGTTAGCTATGGAGACCAAAATTTCTTGAGGAGGGCGGGAGGACCAGGCCCAGGAGCCCAGGAGTCAGGAGTCATTTCATTTTGGGCAATACAAACGATGATAAACGATGTGAATATTTGAAGCAGCTATATGCAGTAGTAGTAAGTGGCAATGAGCCCTAATCATCTGCAAGCTAGGGTCAACGCCCACTCTTCACATGTTTCGAAACCTTGAAGGGCCTTCTCACCCAGCAAAACCTTCGCCATGTTGACCCGGTCAAGGAATTGTAGAGCACATCGGTAGACCGACCGGTTGGTTCCCAAGTTGTAAGGGTCCTCCCCCTTCACCACCCAGGATGCAATGTTTGCCTCCGTAATGCCATCGCGAATCAACTCCTCCGTTTTTGCCAGCACCTGGTCGTAAAACCGGTTGCAAGCGCTGTGATGGGGAATCAAAAAAACACGGCGCAAGTTAACATAAGTCACCAATAATTGAAAAAACACAAGTTCTTTGGCTGATATGGAATCAAATTACTTTACTTCGTGTGATCCCCACCATGACATTTATACATTTTGTTACTGGCAAATCTTCTGGCATTCTATCTGACATATCTTTTGGCATTCTATCTGGCATTCTATCTGGCATAGCTTCTGGCATTCTACCTGGCATATCTTCTGGCATTCCATCTGGCATTCTACCTGGCATATCTTCTGGCATTCTACCTGGCATATGTTCTGGCATTCTATCTGGCATATCTTCTAACATTTTATCTGGCATATCTTCTGGCATTCTATCTGGCATATCTCATGGCATTTTATCTGGCATATCTTCTGGCATTCTATCTGACATTCTATCTGGCATATCTTCTGGCATTCTATCTGGCCGTTGAGGTCCAGCGGTGCACACTGAGCTGGGTAGGTGCCAGGTTGAGGTCCAGCGGTGCACACTGAGCTGGGAAGGTCCCAGGTTGAGGTCCAGCGGTGCACATTGAGCTGGGCAGGTACCAGGTTGAGGTCCAGCGGTGCACACTGAGCTGGGAAGGTCCCAGGTTGAGGTCCAGCGGTGCACACTGAGCTGGGAAGAGCTTGGCGCAGAGTTGGCAAGGCGGAAGTTGAGGTGGAAGTTGATGCAGACATGGTCGAGGCGAAACAGGCGGAGGAGCAGGAGGAGGAAGAGGAGGCGGAGAAGGAGAAGGAGGAGTAGAGCTAGCCGAGGAGGAGAAGAACAACTCTGATAAAATCTAACAACCCTCACCTGGCAGGTGGGGAATCATAGATTATTGATCTAGAATCTTGAACCTAATTATTTAAATATTTAATTTGGTAAAGAACAATCATTGCTTGTTACCATTTCTTGACCTGACTAGGTGGCTGGCTTGACTAAGCTTGACTCTTGACTCTTGACAGTGCCGGGGTCAGTCAATGTCAGAGCGTCACAGTGTTAAGTAACAACGATAAATTGAAACCCGATCGGGCCGATCTGACCCAACCACCTGGGCCCCTCGGCTCACCGACCGTGTTGGTTGGCATGACAGGTCCAAAACAACATACAACAATTACAGTAGTTACAACAAGTGCTGGCCGTGCCAAATTCCAAATGCCACCCGGGAACATGCGCAAACTCTTCTTTGAAGGTTCCAAGGGCCGTCTCCACTTGTTGCGAGAGCTGCTTATGAACAGCTTCCACCGATACCATCAAAACATTGGCCTTGCTGGATGCAACCAAATCTATGTTCTCAATCCTTGGGGCAGCTTTGCAAGAAGCCCGTCTGGAAGTGGCAGGTGCTGAGGCATCAGCACCCTTGGTGTTCCTTCGAGTGTTACGCCCTTTTCCCAAAGCGCTCGGAGGACCATCCTCATCCTTGGCAACAGCAAGTTTCACCAGTGGCTCACCCCAGTTCATGTTCCCAAACCGGAATCTAAACCATATTAACATGCTGCCCCCCCTTGGAAGATTGGAGGAAACCACAGAAGACTGGACTGGAACCACAAATGACCCATATGACCAGGCCCCGCCTCAAACTCTAGTGGCAGATCAACCTGGCCAGCTTTGAAAGCTTTCGCATCAACAGGCTGGGTGTTCAACTTGTCCATGAATTCACGAGTTTGAGCTGGAGATGGGTTCTTTGATGAAGTCTCCTTTTGCACTACCTGGGATCGCCTGAGTTGTGATGTGCGTTGAGGATACCAGCCAAGTCAAGCGCACTAATGATCTAATGAACGGTGGATCCAATTAATGGGTCAATGGGCTTGTCGCTCACTGTCAATGTCAATGGTCAAGGATAACGGACACTTGCGTAGCACCAAACAGTAAACCACCGGCTGGACAACGGGAAGTTGAAGCAAGTTGGCAGTTAACAGTTCAATCCATCTTCCCATGCCAAATGACACGGATCCAGTTGCAAAACTTCAAGATGGTTCAACCGCCTGCGACTGTAAGCACGCCTTGCATGTGTACACACAACACGTTGGTAATTCATTAATCATCCACCCAACGGCCCAACATGACGCATGGTCTGGTCAATGGTCCATGGTCAAAGGTTAGTTTTAAATATACTAAATGTAATCAAGAAGTTGTCAGAGTTGTGCCAGTTGTGCCAAGATACTCGACAGCCTCCTTTCGGTGTTCAAGTTCATCGACTTGCACATGCACTCTGGTGAGAACCTATATTGCGGCTGGCCGCCGGGTGACTCATGATAACAACTGATCACTGATCACCGCACTGTGATTGGAATTGCGCTTCTGGCACACATTGATAACACTAACACGGATAATCAGTGAACACAGAACCCAATAAAATTCCATTCTATTCTGAAGACAACAAATACTCATAGTCACTCACCATCATCAGCACAATACTTAAGTTGCTTGCCATGGCGGCTTGACATTGTTTAACGAAGAAAACACACACACACAAAAACACGTAGCCCGCCCAATTTCCGCCAATATTGCCAAACTACACCAGCTACTCCGCAAATAAGACAGGGAACATGTTTTTCCGGTTTCCGGTCACCAGCCCCCAAGGCACCTCGTCTTGTTTGCTCCGAGGGTTGTAATAGCGCTTGTCACTTTTTTTGATTGTTGGGTCAGCCAAGTCCTGGTACCACTTGGCTGTGGCTTGAGCTTCTGTCAACGTGAGCGGGGCGGGCAGGTTTTGGTAATGTTCCTTGTAGGCACTGAAAAGGAGGGGGCGATACACGTCGTCCTGTTCTTGGGTCATTGATTTCTTGGTTGACTCTATGTGCTTCATCATGTCAAATTTGGTACCCTTACCAACACTTCGTTGGTCTCTGAATGCAACCACTGTGCTACGCCACAACTCATAGTCAGTAGCTCTCAACCGTTCCATTTCTTGTTCAGTTTTTTGCTGTTTACAACAAAGTTGAAACGACCTCACTGCGTAAGAGTCTTGGAGGCAAAAGCCCGAAGCAAGCTTCTTGATGGCAATCTGTTTGCGATCTTCTGGTGTGATGGGGCACTGGCAGATACCACAATCTGTAAGTGGATCTGGACATGGAACATCAGGATCCGTAGGAGCAACAGCTTGAAGATCTTTCGATGAAGAACCGTCTCGGTCACCACCCGCCACCAATGGCATGGCCGTCGGCTCCTTCTGGTCCGCCATAGCTCGACAAGCCTAGAGTTTGCCTGTTGGGTTGAGAACCAAATCCCAACTTTCAACCCCAGTCCAAATCCCAAGGTCAAAGGCCGAAATGACAAGCTGCTGGACAAGCCGTTACTTGTGATGACCGTTGTATCGAAATATAAATGTGTATTATGCAAAGCCCTAACAACTTCTCATCATCATGAGCAGCTGTGAACCCACACAGCGGCCTATTGCTGAAGATAGCCACAAAGCTCAAGACTCAAGAGGGGATCATTCAAGAAGTTCAGGCAAACCGGAATGAACCAACCGCTGACACAAGTGGTGAAACAACTGCACACGATCACAAAACATGTCACACAATGGCGCGAAACAGTTGAAGGTAATGGCCATCGATACTACGAAGATGAAAGCCCGAAAGAATTGAACATCACAAGTTGAAGGTTGGAGTACGAACTGGACTCGGCATAGTTGTTTTTGGTACTTGCCCTGCCTTGTTCAGCGGCTAAGCTACGGCTGCAACTGCCAGGTACAATGCTACCGCTACCGTGCACTGTCTGTTCTGTATGGGCAATCAATGGTCTGCGCGTCCCATTCGTTTCAATTAATGCACCCAAAAAACAGAACAAATTGTTCAAACTGGACTCTTCTCTGTCAGAAGTGCCAAAACAAATCCGACGAAAGTGCCAGCACAGGCTATATGGAACCCGTTGCCGGCCAACCTCACTCCGGGAATCCGTCCCAAGTCCTTTGGAATTGGTGAAACGCCAATACCAGCAGCATTCACCGACTCATCAAACATTGGGATGCCCTGGGCATTGAACAGCTCCTGCCATGTCAGCGGCCTGTGTTGTCGAAGTGACCACATGTAGCTCTTGGTCAAAAGGCATGGACAATGAGTGCTGGCGTAGGCCAAAAAGTCCACGTTCTGAGTCAAATTGATGATCACATCTGAACCGTCGGACATCATCTCCTTCACCCTCTCGTTGTCATTGTATTGATCACGTCTCACCTAAACAAGTAAATCAAGTGGCAATGTGAATGCCGCTTAAACAAAGACAATCCCCCAACACTACGTCTCCAAGGTGTGTGGTTCTATGACGTGTTGGATCTGCGTTGATGTTTGCAGAAGCCGTCTGGCCGATGGTACCGGCTAATGGAGGCGTTAAAAAAAATACGGATGCCAAGCCCCAGGCCAATTCAGTTAGATCAAACCACATTCAACCACCACTCGACAACCAATCTGAACCGGAACCTGGCCTGAAATGCAGCGGGGAGGGCATCCAGGAAGGTTGTGCAGCGGTTGCCTTTGGAGAGGACCTGGAGCTCTGCTTCAACCTCAGAGGAAGCAGAGACGCCGGATAAAGGGAGGGAACCATGACAAAACACGGACAAGCATGACCAAATCTTCGATCTTCAAACTTCAAACCGTCACAAGGGATACTATACAATGCAAACACTGCTGTAGACTGTAGAGTCCATTGAAATCTGCACATCACAGGCCCCCAAACCAGTCAGGAATGGTATTAATTTGTCACAGCTACAGTTACAGCATCACCAACACCAAGAATTCGACTTGCCTTAAATAAACCATATGTCTAAAGCATGATTGACCGAGTCGGCGAGTCGGGCTGTTTGAGAAACAGTGAAGCAAACACATAGTGACATAGTTTAGCACGGATTGACATACAATGTCCACATTGACAGAAACAGTGAAACAGTTGCTGCTGAATCACAACGTCATGTGGGGCACAAAATAGGTGGCCACCGTCGAAAGTGGGGAAACGGTCAAGCCCCTCCAATGCTGACTTCAAACAGCTGATTTCGGCCAGGGTGAAATCATCTCGAATGCAGGCGCTATAGACACGTGTCCTTGCAATTGGGAAGCCTCGCAAAGGTGGCTTTTGGATCGCTGAGTGCACCGTGTAGCCTCAGGGAAAACGCTTGGGAGGGAACACTGGAACGGCAACAGTTCAAAATAAAACAAGGATAATCGTGGAGGGCTGGAGGATCATTGGTTACCTATCAAGTCTAGATTCGCTTCAGTGGGTGCAACTTGTGCAACTGTCAATATTATCAGTTGAAACATTTGATTTGCACTATATTTGACTGGACTGGATTGTGTTCGAATGCGACCAGAACAAAAATATGCAAGAACTTGAGAGGGGGGGACGAAAGGTAGGGGGGGGCAAAAGAGAGCAACAGGAAAAATATTGCCAAACTGAGATTGATACTTCTCTTCACTCAAACCTCCCGCAGAAGAAAATGTTAGCCCCCAAAAAAGCTTTGTGGGAATAGAGTCAAATGTAAAGTAACTTCACGCGCGGCGCGCGCGCGTGAACCATCCTGCATGCAGGTGCTTCTCCGCGCGCGCGCGCCGCGCGCGCGCGAGCGCACGCATGTGCGGGACGTAAACATTGCGAGTCTCTATTCCCCGGCACGGCCTCAATGGGACTAGAACATCCACGATAGATCGATAGATCAATACATCGATAGATAGATAGATAGATAGATAGATAGATAGATAAAACTATAAATAAATAAATAAATAGATGAATAAATAGATAGAGAGATAGAAGCATCGATCGATAAATAGATAGATCGATGGCTACCTTGATCGATAAACAGATAGATAAATAGATAGATCAGATAGATAGATAGATAGATAGATAGATAGATAGATCCAAGGATAGATAGATAAATACATACATAGATGGACAACTAGATAGATAGATATATCGATAGATAGATGGATAAGGAGGTAGGTACAGAGTCAGAGAAAAAGAGAGAGAAAAAAATGCGGACCAGGGGGGAATCGAATGGGGGGGGGAGGGGGGGCCCCCCCCCCCTAAGTCTCCGTTCGTGACTCTCGGCTTTCAATTTCCGGGAAAGGAGCAGCCACCTCCCCCAGTACTAAACTAGTACTAAAGTACATAGAACTCAGGTAGCCTAGGCTACCTTTCGTGATATGCTAACATTTACGTTACAATATGTTACAATACTGAGTCAAAGTCATAGAGTGTGATCATCAAATCTTGATGTGAGCAAACAAGTTTCAAACAAGAGTGGGGTTCAATTCAATGGAGCAATATATATATATATGTGTGTGTGTGTGTATATGTCTGTGTGTAAGTGTGTAAGTGTGTAAGTGTGTAAGTGTGTAAGTGTGTAAGTCTGTATGTGTGTGTGTAAGAGTGTGTGTGTGTGTTTGTGTGTGTGTTTGTGTTTCAGGGCCAGGCACTGGGCCATGGGGTCAAATGGGGTCAGCAAGTCTGAAATCACATACTTTTTTGTCCCGGAAGGAACCAAACAATTTGCAATCCAGAAGCCTGGGAGGTACTCTTGAAGGATTGAGGGCCTAAAGTTTCGAGTGCATTCGTGGAAGAAAACACGAGGACGACGGCGCTTCACCATCTGCAACTCCACAGCAAATGGCAACACTGTCGACCCGGCCAGTGAAGTCTGTGTTCCCATACTTGACCAATCGGTACATGATGTACCCGCCATAAAGTACTCTTTTTGGCTAGGATCCGAATCTGGAAACACATGGCATTGGCCATCACTGTTTGGATGCTTGTAACAAGCTGATGTAGCCTCAAACAAGTCCGTCGCTGGAAAAGCATCCATGGTGTCCATGAGGGATTTCAACAGCTTGTTGCCAGCTTCTTTCAAAGCCGTCTTCGCCTCACGCTTCAATTTGTCCGTCATGGCTTCCTGAGACTTGGCGTGCAAGTCCTTCACAAGGAGCTCGTTCTGGGCCATGACCCTTTGAACAGCCAACCTTGCTGGCAGGGTCAGCGTTTGCAAAAGGTCCTTGAAAACATGGACAGGGCCATGTCCCAACAGCACACGCTGGCATGTGCCATCGATGTCAACCGAATGGTAAACCTCTCCCGGCACCAAGCCCTTGGTTGCCAAATCCGTAGCAACTTCCAAGTGCTGCTTCAAAATCTCCATGCCACCCATGCCACCTGGGTTTCGTAGTTGAAAGCTCGAAGGAAGGTGTGGGGGGTGCATTGAAATGTTGAAACCCGCAAACCAGTCATAATGACCATAACAAACTAGCAGGTAAGTGGTAGGCATCAGCTCACCGGTCAACGAGAGTCACCGTGCTGGAAAGTAAACTGATGACATGACTAATTAGTGGTAATGGATAAATAGAATGAACATACTCGGAGATACCATTGGTAGTGACACTGTCCAAATTTGGCCACTTTCACATATACACCAAAAAAATCGGCCCACTGGGGCCCACTGTTGACCTAACATTTGACCAAAATGACGACGGGGAAAAAAAAACACAAACTCAACCGGAACAAGTTTTAAGTTGGAGGTTCCCCTTCTCTGTCCAGAGACCATGGAACCACATAGATTGAATGTTCAGCAGGAAAGTGGACAACGAAGTGTCAAATAGTATGTCAATATATGTCTGAATATGTTTGTTTTAATCAGGTGATGCCAGAATGAATAGATCAGCACTGCACCAAATGACCCGCAATGTATAATGTAACCAAATATGTCACATAGTCACATTCACATAATGTCATGTGTGCTGGATTGCTGAACTGCTGAAATTGCTGCCATGGTATCACACGGATCAGAAAAATGGATTCACACGGATCAGAAAAATGGATTTCAGTTGATCCATGTGGTCCCTGCTCAGCCCAACAAAACATATGTAGATGTCTCCAAATAGGGGTGGCCAGGAATGATCCAAGCCATTCGTTTTCAGTGAAGACAACTGAGGATCCATATTTTGAAACATCCCCATATGTTCCAAATACTTTGCCACAGCAACGTAACTACATTGTTTTAACATGTTTTAACTTAGGCCAAACGCGGCGTCCAAATGAAGTTTCCAATTGCCCCATGGTTTAAACACTTGCTCAAACCCAAACCCAACCGCAAGTCTAAAAAGCAGGATGCTGTACTGCGAGTACCACACTGCACCAGCCAGATTTTGAGCAAGACGGTCCAAAGCCTTGTTGCCATAGGAGTCCACACATGTGTTGACCAAGTGATAGTGCCACTTGAAGGCTTCCTCCAATGTGTCCACGGGCAGACCATTCGAACTGGTGTCCTGGAGAGAAACCAACAACAGGAACAATGCTGGGCTGGCTGGCTGACTGATTGTGGAGCAAAACCAGATTATATTCTCATGGCAAGATAGACCCAGCATGGCCCAATCTAAGTTTAAGGTCAACATGGCCCAATATGAGCCCAACATGGCCCAAGTTTGCTCAACAAAGCTGGTTGGATGATCCCCGAAAAGGTCAAACGTTTGCACAGCACGGTAAAATAAAAACAACATGCTGTACTGAGATTGAAGCTTCGGATTCTGTTGCAAAAACGAGAATGGCAAGCCAATGTTCTCTCAATGTCCTTAGCATCAGTTCTCCGGGATTTCTTTTTGGCAGGGGACTTGGACTGGATACCGGCATCAGATGCGAAAACTGGCTCATCATCAGAGCAAAATGATAACTCCATCTGCAATTCCCTGGTTGTAGATGGCTCTGACCGAGTTGGTTTAGCGTCTGCTGTGGCCGATGCACCTGAGTCGGGTCAAACAGGGACACACGCAGTCTCTCAGTGTCAGTCAGTCAGTCAGTCAATGGACATCAGAGTCTAACACATGTGGTCTCAAAAAATGAAGAATATCGAAAACCGGATGGGTATCCAAAACCACATACCAAGCTGATTATCCCAACTCCAACTACCAAAGCGCAACCAAAATGAAGCTGCATAAATTGGTGATTGGGAACTAGTATGAGCCAGGAACGTTGTTTTCCCAAATATATGTTACATTTAAGAGAAAGAAACACTGGTTTCTTCCTAACCCAAATGTCGCTCACCACCGCCCAAATCAAAACCATAGAGCCTGGCGGCATAGCATTTAGGACAGCCAGCTGTTACTTGCCCAATTCTGATTCAAAGTCAAAACCCTGTCATGGAACCTCCATGAACGGGCCGGGATATCTCCAAGCGTCCCACCGACATGAAAACCATAGCTTAAGGTTGTGGAAAATAATTTACTTGTGTGTGTTTGCCACCTCAAGGAAAAACTACACAAAACTATCCCCATTAGCAGTTTTGTAGGCTGGATTGGTGTTTTGTTGGCTGTGGGTGGCATTTTTGTCTGCCAAACCAACAGTAGAGACTGCTAGTTTAGGATATCTATATTTGCTGCCTAAAATTAAACCGCAGGGTCTAAGGCAAATAGCCAAAGTCAATGCATGAAACCTTATCTAGCAGGGCATGGGGCCCCATATGCCACTAAGCTTTGCAACTACCTCAATCATTCTAAAACTTCCTCAGTGGGTACCCCCAAGAAAGTTTGAAACCAAAGTTTAGCCCCTGGCTGAAACAGAGAAAATCGTAGAATTGGGTTTCGGGTAGCTATGATGTCAAATTTAGGTGTACAATAGTCAAGCTGCACAATCCCCATAATTTACTTCAAAGGTTTCACAGAACTCCCAAATCCACTTATTCCGTTGGTGATCTCCCGGGAAAAAAAAATAAAGATTAGGCATTGGCTGAGTAAGTCCACAAACCCTAAAATCACAAAAGTGTTATGGCTTGCAAAGCCATGCTGGCCGACTTTAAACCATAGAAATTAGGGTTTACCATTTACATCCATTTACCATGATCATGCTGACCAAATTTGGACCGAGGGAGTTTAGGGGTTAGTTACGATAGCTAATTTCAACATACTGAATTCAATTCAACATTTCCAGGGGTCCATAATCCCACTAAACACCCACCAAATCCCACTAAATCACATTGGATAACCATGCTGCCCAAATTTAAACGATAGAGTTTAGGGTTTAGGATGGCCATGCTGCCCAAATTTAAACCGTGGAGTTTAGGGTTTAGGATGGCCATGCTGCCCAAATTTAAACTACAGAGTTTAGGGTTTAGGATTTGGGGTTTAGGTTGGTCGAAATCACGCCACAAAATTGTCTCCCCCAGCGGATCCAAATCCCACTCAGCTCTGCCAAACCTTTAGAAAATAGACAGGGTTTCGACGGCCATGCTGTCCACATTTTAAAACGTAGAGTTTAGGGTTTAGGATGGCCATGCTGCCCGAATTTAAACCGTAGAGTTTAGGGTTTAGGATGGCCATGCTGCCCAAATTTAAACCGTAGAGTTTAGGGTTTAGGATGGCCATGCTGCCCAAATTTAAACTACAGAGTTTAGGGTTTAGGATTTAGGGTTTAGGATTGGCAAAGTCAAACTGCAGAATTTAAAGCCTAAGTTGTCAGCTGAACTGAATACCATTAAACTTTGTCAAAGCCTCAAACTATGGGTTGTTTGATTGAGGATAAGAATGTCACATGTACACAAATGTGTGATGGCATAGAGACACAACCCTGATCACTCATACAAACTTGTATCAGTTCAATATGTTCAATATCATTTCATGGTTGTCCATGCAATGGAAAACAGTCTGCTGGTCAATAGTAACCACAAAATGTTTAAAACATTTTTTTTGAACATGAAATGATGGATTATGACAAAACCATTTTTTTTGACGAGTTTCACGGGGAAACAGTTGGAAACAGTTGGGGCTTGTCACTGGACTCGGCAAAAAACATAGTGTTTTAGAGCTCTTGAAGGTAATATTCATGGTAAAAGGATGTAAAACCTATATCATTTTTACCGAGTCAACTGGCACCACCCAACTGTTTCCAACTGTTTCCAACTGGTTCCCCGTGAAACTCGTCACAAAAAAAGTGTTTTTGTCAACATCTTCCAAATTGGTTGTTTTCTTGCACGTTGTTGCGCAATTGGGCAGCTCAAGACATGTCCGACCGGGTCCGTCTGTTTCCAACTTTGTCCCTGTCCGACCCGCATGTCACCCCCGACTGTTTCCGACTGTTTCCAACTTTGCCATCTCCAACCCGCATGTCACCCCCCGACTGTTTCCGACTGTTTCCAACGTTGTCCCTGTCCAACCCGCATGTCACCCCCGACTGTTTCCGACTGTTTCCAACTTTGTCCCTGTCCGACCCGCATGTCACCCCCGACTGTTTCCGACTGTTTCCAACTTTGTCCCTGTCCAACCCACATCTCACCCCGACTGTTTCCGACTGTTTCCAACTTTGTCCCTGTCCAACCAGCATGTCACCCCCCGACTGTTTCCGACTGTTTCCAACTTTCTCCCTGTCCAACCCGCATGTCACCCCCGACTGTTTCCGACTGTTTCCGACTTTGTCCCTGTCCGACCCGCATGTCACCCCCGACTGTTTCCGACTGTTTCCAACTTTGTCCCTGTCCAACCCGCATGCCACCCCCGACTGTTTCCGACTGTTTCCAACTTTGTCCCTGTCCAACCCGCATGTCACCCCCGACTGTTTCCGACTGTTTCCGACTGTTTCCAACTGTTTCCAACTTTGCCCCCATCCAACCCGCATCTCACCCCCCGACTGTTTCCGACTGCTTCCAACTTTGTCCCCGTCCAACCCGCATGTCACCCCCGACTGTGCCCGACTGTTTCCGACTGTTTCCGACCGTTTCCAACTTTGTCCCTGTCCAACCCGCATCTCACCCCGACTGTTTCCGAATGTTTCCGACTGTTTACTGTTGACGGTTATTTCCGATTGTTTCCAGCTTTGTCCACATCCAACCCTTATGTCACCCCCGACGGTTACTGTTTCCGACTGGCTTCCGACTGTTTCCAACTTGCACCAGTCCGACCCATAGTTATGTCCAATTGGTTCTTTCTTTCTGGCTGACTGCTTTCAAGTGCCATCATCACCTGTCAGGTCAAGTTGAACGTGTCAAGTTTCTGAATGTTCTGCTTCTAAGCCTCTAAGAGCCTCTATGTGTCTCTGTCTCTCTAAGCTTCGCCTTGCTGATATGTATATAGTATAGTCTAGGCTGCGTAAGTTAGTAAGTTGATCAGTGTGTTCGTTTGTTTCCATATTGTGTCCTGTATACTGTGTCCCATATATGGTGAGTGTGACCCAATCTGACAATCTGACCTGACCCAATGGGACCCCATGGGCCCATGTGATGCATATATTTACAACGACTGCTGTCCCAATGCTAAAAAGCTTCTAACGATGGCTTCCTACTTGGCCCAACTACATTTCAATGCCAGTGTGTACAGCCCATCAGTTTCCGGCTGTTCCGGAATTTGCCTAATATGGGCGGCAACTTCGGGAGCATAATCTAGATTAATCTAGCGGCCATGTTATTTGTTTTACAATATACAATATACAATATACAATCCAATGTTGTTGATGTTGAATTTTTACATATTTTTTTGCTTAAATCATTAATAATTGCCTCTCCGGCTGCCACTATACATGCACATACAGCACATGCCCTGATCAATCTAATCCGAGATACGCTTTTGATTTGGCCTGCCTTTGGCCTTGGCACTGCTCCTACCCTTGGGCACTTTGGGGGGTGCATCTTCCTGTGGAAGACCCAACGACTGTTCTGACTGTTCTGACTGTTCAGGCAATGTTGACATAGATGACAAAGTAGAAGTAGAAGACTCATCCGTCGAAGTGGAGGAAGAAGGCTCTGAGGTATCAGTGCTGGGGCAGCCGCTGCTGCCTGCATGACACAGTGTCAGTGACAACTAGCAGTTTTCTACTTGCGAACTTGCAGAAGCTTGCGTTACTTCTTCTAATGTTATCACATGCTTTTAAAAGCTTGAAAATACAGAAGCTCTGTTTTTGTGTTCTGGATTGCCAAACCGTTAGGAACAGACCCATTAAACCCCTGTCAGTATCACATGTTCCTCTTCTGTAGTGGCATACTCCCTAAAACATTTCAAGCCCTACAACCAGAACCAGCTATCTTCAGTTGACCCAATGACACAGCACATGTCACCAATTGATCAAATGCCAGTGCATCAAACAAAAAAGCCATGATACCATCACCATCTTCAGGCTCTGCAGACGGACCGGCTTGATTAGTCACCACGTCCATTGGCACCATGCCAGCGGTAGGGGACCAACTGGAACACACTTCCACGTGAACCCGCCACCAACCAAATCATGGATTATCTGAACTGTTCAGTGACCAGTGGCAATCAGTTGTTGATAGCAGATAAGTTCATTGAAAGAAACGCATGTGATTGACAGTGGGGCACGTATTTGCACGCACCAACTTGAACAGAAATTGACACGGGGGACTCTGGCCTGCTCAATTTCCGAACACTACCATTCAGGGGCGACTGTAACATGTTTTCCAAACCAGAATACGTAACAGCAGAAGCACGGTTGTCACCATGACATGAATATACATTAAACCTTTGAACTGCAGCTGTCAGCAAGGCCTTTCTAGCCGGTCGTGCACAGCAAGCACACATTTCCAAAACACGAATCCAACTTGAGGATATATCTTGGTGAAACAAGCTTTGGCATTTCCCGGCATTTGGCATCTAGCCATCGCCTTTGACACATGAATTTTGATTTGCACATAGCAGCATCAACTGACTAAGGGTTGGATCTGGACGCTGTCAATCTTTGCAGCTCCCGGTTGAGGTCATCGTCTGACCCCACTGCACTGAGTGGGGGGACAGCAGTATAAAAAACGTGATGTTGCTTTGAATCGCACTGCGCATCTAGCCCTTTGAGGCACCATGCTTTCAGCCTTCGCGCAACATCATCCTGCACTAGACAGATCATATACCCGGCTACACCCCCTTGAGGTGGGCTGGGCATGGAATTCTGGAAATAGAAAATGAGAAAATAATGAAACCAATGGTCAAACCCAGCTATGAAACAATGCAAATAGTGCGAGTAGAAGTTGTAAGTCTCGAAAACTGAAACTGAAACTTAGACTACATTAAGTTGGTCGGATGTCCATTTACCAACACGCACACACACAAACAAACATCAATCTGCAAAACGCACAGGCAACCAACATATATTTACTGTGTCCTCACTGGTCTCTTGATTGGTGCGCATGCTCTTGGTGCATGATTCGTGGATGGGGCAAACAGCTCGCCATGTAGGAACTGTGCCAGATGCATAGTACGTCAAGAAAAAATCTCCGAAATAATGGCTCTTTTCATGGGTACTTGCTCGGGTTGTCCCCGACCTCTTTGCAGAACTGTCCGATTTAGCTTTTGGCCGGGGTTCCTCACAAAGTTGTTCTCAAGGACAAGCCCACCAATTTCCAAGAAACGACAAATTGTTCAGAAAACAACAAACAACTCATCAACTATTACAACAGCACAGCATAAATGCAAATACGGAATGTGGTTCGATTGGGGGGGAACACCCGAAGATGAAGACGCCCCAGGATTCTAAATTCAGTTTGGCAGCACAAGTGATTCTATTACACACATGCTTTAATGCTTTAATATGTGGTAGTTCAAAACATGTGGCTGGGCTCATACTTGTTTGTTTTGTGAACCGAACATAGATTCAAAACCGAAATATTGAAAAATGGAAAAATCAATGCTAGCTAGATGAACATTGATGGATATAATCTTGCCCCGTTCCATTCACCCGATGAAATGAATTAAACGGATTTTTCAGCATAGATTTGATTGAAAATTTGAACCATATTTTTGACATATTTTGAAGGTAAAGGGTCTGCTCTCTGTTCCGTTGGATTTCGACTGCGCGTGCGCCCCGAAGACGCCGGCACCACCGCCCCGGAAGTTGGAGGTCTGTCAGGAGGCCTGAGAACTTCAACTGCCTGCGTTGAAGCAGCGCTGTCCTTTCGCGGGTTGGAAACAGAAACATCAGTTGAAGAGGGTCGTCCCATGTCCAAAGCAGGTAGGTCACTGTTGTCATCCATCAACTGCAGATCATCTTGAGCAGGCGCATCTGGTGGTTGACCTTTGGTGATTGCGCGATACAACCTTGCCTCAGTCGTTTGGGAACAGGGAATGCGCACCATCTCTATTGGCTACCAATGAATGCCATTAATTATGCCAGATGACGTTCAAAGTTCAAAACAAAAACAACATTACATGTCAAAGGTTCAATCATTATTTGGTGGTACGAGGTACGGGTTTCCACGGGTCAATGGACTCCAAGGGTGAGCCCTGAGCAAGACAAGACAAGATGGCTGAGTAGTAACTCTCAATTTGACCATGGTGAATTGCTTTGAGCCCAGCCCGGAACAATTCCTCGCTTTTCAGCAGGCACACCAAATAGTTGGAAAAGAAGCGCCCATTTCGGTCGCAAAACCAGTTCTTGCAACAGCCCGGGGTAGCAGTGTAGGGTTCCCTAGCTTTTGATTGGTCCTGCGCCAAGGACAAACGATTCCAACCGTTGTCAGCCATTAACAGCTCCAGCTCAAGCGATGTATATTGATCCAGTGGAAGGTTTGCCCTTGGGGTGAAAACTCGGGATGGGGTGCGAAGCCATATGGACTGCACTATGTGTCGTTCCAATGCTTCAGTGGTCAAAGACCATTCTCCCTCTCTTTCTGAACTCACCAGCCCATCCCGTTCAAGCAGCTTCAAAGACTCGATGGTGTCATCTTCGCCCAAATCGTTGAACTTGTGGAGCCCACCTGCCCAGCCAACTGTGTTACACCAAGGGGAGTATGTCTGGAAATGGCGGCAATGAATAACATAGAATAACCATCTAAGATTGGCTACCTTCAAATAGCTCAAGTCTTCAATGGAAACTGGCCGGCGGTCCGGACAGTCTGGAGTCCAGTGAAAGTCAAGCACGAATTAAGTGCTTTGCAGTTTATTTTTTAAAGTTAGGGCACGTCGTTCAAAATATTTCAAATGACACAAAGCTGTATTGGCAAAATATAACCAGTCGCTAGTTCAGTGCTGTGAGCAAATGATGGCTTGATCTCAACTTGAACTATTGAGCATGCCCTGAGACTACCCCTTACCTTCGGTGTGAGGGAAAAAAGAAAGCTAGGGCTGAGGAACTGTCCTGGGAAGGCGCCAGCATCAACCAAAGGATTCAACACTGGAAGTTTGCATTCCACGACTACACCTTGCCCTGAGGAGTCCAGCTGAAATTGGATCATGGTTTTCATCAGCACATCGGGGTCTGTGCTCCCAAAGAGGTCAGAACAAAGCCTGGGATGCAGCGCCAATCATCATGAACAATACGTTGGGAATGTGTTCACCAGTTTCAATACTTGGCTTAGTTTCAACATTGAGCTCAAATCACATCCAACAGAATGTGAATAATGTGAAACACCACCCCAGCGGGTTGTAGTTCGAACACCAAACAAAACAATTAGATTCATACAAGTAAGCATGAAGAAACATGTCCGAATTAGGAACATAGAAACACATCGGAGCCATGTGAACGCGTTACCCGAATACGGAGTACGTCGGGGTCACTCATATCACGTTCCACAACGTGATACTTTCTCAAAGCAATGTCGTTGGGGCCAATGGCGTCATCTGCATGCAATGGTCTTTTAAGACGCCCTGGGCGAATGTGTGCCACTTTGAAAACTACATAGGCTTCCAGTACAGGGTCTGTAATCGGATCTAAACGACCAATTACGTCAACCTGCTTTTCGTCATCGCTGTCCACCAGAAAGCACTCCGAAGCCACAGGAACAGGGGCTGTGGAAGGCAACGCTGGTTGAGACATGCCAGGTTCCAACTGCGGTTGGTCTCCGGGAACCTCTTGGTCACCCAACGGAAGTGAACTAAATGCTGAAGCTGATGTGCTCAATGCTTCCACAGTGGATCTTTCCTGGGCTGAAGGCCGAAGGTGTGGTCAATCTAAAAACCTAAAACATCTAAAACATTCTAAAACCAATCAATCAAATCAAACCAAACCAAATTCAATCAAACCAAATGGCAATATAGGAAGCTTGTCTGCATCACTCTCACTATCACTAGTGATTGGTGTTGCTTAGACTTCCTATTGAGCAGTGAACAGTCCGACAGGACAATTCCCAACATTCAACCACCAAGCATCACCACATTTGACAAATTCAGAAGTGGGAAGGGCAAAGAAAGATCCAGTGTCATCTGCCGCAAGTGCCCGGAAATGGTTGAGAAGTCTTGCTTGCAAAGGTGACAGTGAAGGCATTTGTTTCTGTGGGTTGGCAGGCCTCTGATCAAGTGCCTTCGATATCGTTGCTGCAGGTGAATACAGCTGTTGCCCAGATCGTCGGTAAATCAAATCCCGCAAGGCCTCCCTTGACACCACTCTCGCACACTGACTGGTTGGGACGCAGCAACTACCGCCGCACATTTTAGCCACGGCTTCACAAAGACCCGTCTGGGTAATCAAGCCTTCAGCACCGAAGGCTGTCACAGATGCCTCCAGATCCTCAGCAAGGTTGGAATGAAAGAATTGGCCGCAATCGCAACAAAAATGATTGATTTCCCATCATATAGTGCCTAGGGCCGCACCTAACCCGAAGACCCAAGACCCAAAATGTTTAGAATCATGACAAAATGAGAATGAGAACCCTGATACTGCAGTACAATATATGCTACGTTTGCTGTTTGCTTTATGGCCAGTGTCATTGTCAGTGGATGACTATAGAAAAGCACCTGAATATCACAGTACCATAGGTTCATAGATGAATGGCAGGGCTTGGGTCAGCTACGCTAAACCTCTGAAGCTAAATCTAAAGCTAAAACCCCAAATGTCTCCAACCAAAAGTTTACCAAACAAACTGCATCATAGCATCAGGTCACACGGAGAAAGGGAATCTGTGAACTTCCACTGTGAACACATGTTGCCTGTGAAACAAAAGTAACACATGGCTATTCGAAAGAGGAATGGACCACCTGGTCAATGCTACTCCCATATACTTCAAATAGCTGACTGAAACAAAAGCAACGCAAGTGTGAAAGATATTGAGATTGAACATGTTGAAACTGTGCGTCCAATTTAACCTGTGACAATTTAGGCTCATCAGTGTGTGACGTGTGCGTGTGTGTGTGTGTATATATGTGTGTGTGTGTGTGTGCGGCTTTCACTGCCATATCCCCACAGAGTTACACAATGACAGTGGTGGAATATCCCATTGGGCCAGCCGCAAGACAATTCCCCACTGCCGACTATGCTGTTTTAACATCACCAAAGCCATGCTCTCTGTAGCGAGCCGCAAAGATCAATGCTCACAAGCACAAAACCGTCTATACCTCACTGGCTGTTCGCCGGCGATGTGTCAGCCAGCAAACTCATATCCCAAAACTGCTAACAATGGCCTGCAGCTGCCATCCCACAAGTCGTCACTTGAGATTTGGGAACTCCGGGTCCTATGCGACTAAGCGTTGTCTGGGTTCAAATCAGGATTTTTCCCGTTGAACCTGGAATGCGTTTTCTCTGCAACCCTGGAGAAAGAAACTTGCACTGCCAAATCGGTCAGGACAGCATACCCCTCAAACAGAACTTGACTGGCGTGCGATAGACCCTCCGCAGCCGTGGATCCAACGTCAAGCAAGTCCTGAACAAGCAGCGGAACAGACTTGATCGACATAAATTCTTTGACGCTGAAATCGCTGAAAGGCGATATCTCAATATCATATACGCTAGTGAGGAGGTAAGGACCTGGGATTCGGGATGTTTGACCTGAGGATGTCCAGAGACTCTCGAACTCTTGAAAACAAAAAAACATGAGCCATATAAACATGCCATAGAATTGAACTACTTAAAAAATACTACTGAATACATGGAAATAATACAGAAACCAGCCAACCCCCTGACTTGTTATTTTTAAACCAAAAGTCATCAAGTTGGTTGAGCTGCACGGTGCGATCTTCAGTCGAATCGGGATTGGTACACTCACCCCGTATGTACTCTGCAATTTTGGCTTGCATGGGCACCAAAAGGCGTGGGTCATAATCACCCATGGCCGGCTTGACATACCACTTCGCATTGGGCGGCCTGACGAAGTCTCCATTCTGCTCGCTACGTAGGAAACGTGCTTTCACCTCAGATAGCACGGAGATGCAAACTGAATTTGAACCTGGACCGAGGCCTGGGACCTAGGGACCTCGATTTGATTGGCTTGGATTTGGATAGGATGGGTTGCAAACTATACTTTATGCCATTGAAATTCAAAAAAGAATAGATAAATAATGATAATGATCAGGACAATAACAATAACATACAATAACAATATCAGATAATGTTGTATATAGTTAAAGTATGGTCTACTGAGTCTACTTGTCTACTTGGTCTGCTTGTTACTTAGAACAACACAACAACTGTTGATCTAGTGATCAAATTCAACCAATGTCTTTTCGATCTGAATGGACCTGGGTTTGGGTGGCACCTGGATGGTGTTGGGTGAATGATATAGAGAACACACTTTTGTATTCATGTTTTATGTTTTGGATAATTGACGAGGAGCAATGGCCAATGTCCATTGCCAAAAGAATCCATGATAACTAAAAAGGCCCAACTATGAAAACAAACAAGGATTACCAAGAAGGAACAAACAAATCACAAGAAAACACACCCAAATGCATGACAAGTACAGTCATCGCAACACAACGTACTCGAGCCAGAATTTCGGCTAAGTAAGGATCCTCGCGGTGCATCTTCTGGGCAAAACAAATGGCCTTGATCAACTGGTTGAACTCTCCACCGGGCTTCTGGTAATGCTCCTTTACATCCTTTACAGAGCCAAACTTCAAGATCAACTCAAGACACATGGAGCGCACATCCTGTTCGAACCAGAACTGATCAGGTGAATCATGCTCATCACTGCCACAGCTGTGATATGCACCAGTGCTGGCTGGGGGTGCTTTGGGCCCTTTGGACATTGCTGGTGGGAACGGGAACAACAATCCCTTGAGAGGCACACAGCCAAACTACACCACAAAATACATACACAAAACACACATTGCTTCTTGCCCACGCCTAGACACTGTTATTCCTGAATACATTTCCTTCGGGTAGAACCTGGATATCATTGGCGAAAGCATCGAAAAGACTACTACATGATCTGACCAGACCTAATTCATCCCAGCGAATCAACATTCTGATAAAATCTCAGGTGACTGGCCGTGGTACCGTTTCTGTTTTGCCATCAAATGTCATCATCGATCGATCCATGTGCTGCCCCTAATGAAGACCAACGCTAAGACATGCTAAGGCATGCTAAGTCAAGTGCAAGGACAGTGAAATTCGAATTAGCCCGTGGCCATGTACCGCAGGTGCCTAGCCATTGATTCAAAATCAATTTAGCGAAGGCCTAGCTGTCTCTTCCTATCCTCTTCCTTCGCGGCAATGCTCAACTGCTCACATCGGCAATCTTTGGACACCATGAGCAACCGGGCACTGGATAACCTGGTGTTGCATTCAAGATTGGTTGGGTACGATTGTGAATGAGATAATTGATTCTGAAGGAATAAGGAAACCAAGTCACTCGTCCAGGAGCAGGCGGTCTATCAGCACTTGTGCCCAGCATGAAACACAAAGTCGTTCATACTTGACCTCCTCCAGGTACTTTTGAACCGATTCAAATTCTGACCCTTTCGCCATTGGCGTCGCACAAATCGATGGATCACAAATCGATGGTTCACAGCTACAAGTAGCGGGGTTAGCGCAGCGGGCTTGTGAAGCTGATGGCAGCACTTATATATCCTAACTCTGGCACTAGTCACTAGCCTGGCTAGCCTAGCCTGAGCCTGCAGAGCCTGGCCTAGCCCTGCTCATTGCAATGCGATTTGTCCAAAACCCATGTTCTGATGCATTTGGTCTGCCCCCAAAATATGTTCAAATTGTCATTGCAGGGTACCTCTGAACCACGAGTTCTCATCTTCGCAACACAATCCAACCCCGAGTTCCTCACCGGACCCCCACTGACAGCAACCACCAAGAATCCGCAGGGTTCTGAAACAACTTCTCCAGGTGTTTCCAGCGGACCTCTGTTGAAACATACGCATCGCCCGCTGCGCGTGCTCTGGCAAATGTTGCCTTTATATCACGGTGCAAGGCCTGCAGCCGCTGCAGCCCAGCCAAAGCCCGAGTAGAAAGCCCATAGACCCCCCACAGCCCCTGATAGACACTGGGCATTCAGTGGTCCAGTGAGTCAGTGAATTTAATGCCGAATCAAGTTGACTTGGTTGAATTCAAATTCAAACCATCCAAGGCCAACGGCATAAACTTTAACTGTACCTAACTGGAATAACTAAACGAAGTAGACAAAATAATTCAAAAGTCAGAAGCAACCACATTCCGTAGTATGAAGTGTCATGGGGTCATAGGGTCATAGGATGAAGTGATGATGGAAGTTGTGGGTTCTAACGTTCAAACAAGCCACTGAAGGCCATTGAAGATTTACAAAAACATCATTTGAATGAGTGATGGCAGTGGTGATCACTGCGACTGCGACGACTACCGATATAATTTCATATGTGGTGTCCGAACAACTTACCGAACAACCTGTAATCCATCCCCCGGTGTGGTCTCCACGAGGAGGCCTCAATTGGCCTCTCCACAATCCTGATCATCTTGAGCGCTCCTGCCCAGAACCGGAGATTCGGCAAGCTATCCATTTCCTCGCCGGCCAGGAAATCTTCCACCTTGGCATTGCAGAATCAAAGAGTTGAATGAATCCTTAATCAATACCTGAAGCCGAAGCAATCCCTTCCTTCTGCCTTGTCTTGTCTTGTCTGTCTTATTATCATGTATCACCTTATCTTTTATATATATACATTAGTTGTGAGATGTAAAGCATAGATACTAAAACGGTTCACTCTATCCAGGCTCACATCCGCATAGCTTTTTCCTTTCCAGTCTCTTCGTGCGGTCTCAACCTGCTCCTCGCAGGATAGTGCTTTGGAACGCTGTGCAGGTATTCCCCTGCACAGCAGCACTTGTTGGATCCGTACACCCTGTTTCGCACTCCTGTGAACTCAGGAGGCTACACAGGTTGAATCTCTCCCGCCCAGTGCTACAGTCGTGGGACTCCACGTAGAGATCAACATCCTCAATGATGTGATCCCCTACAAGAGAGGATACTCCACAGGAGTCCTATCTCATAGGAAGGGAAGGGAGGGAAAAGAAAGAACGATGAAGCCAGTTTGGCTCAGACTTGAGCCAAAATGGATTCATCAGCTTACATACTCACCCTAATGATAATGCACACCCAGTGCCTGCCAAACACGATGCATACATATATATATATATTCTTGTCGTTATTAGTTAGTACAATTATTGTACAATTACAAGTAACGAATTTACGATAAGGACAAGTAATATTAGTAACGTAAGAGTCTGTAAGAGCAAAAAGTCAGGACTCAGTAGCTCACCACTCAGTAACACAATGCTAAATACTGTTACTACATATAGAGAAAATATATATAATGATTGCAGTATACCAGCGCCACTGCTAAGTATGTGTATTGAAATTGTTGTCTGTTACCTATTTTAGCATCCCACCATCACACAATTTCAGTTCAATTTCAGTTCATGTCCATGTATTGCCATGTGTGTCACACTGTGTGTCCCCGGCCTCAAGGTACAAGGGTTGATCATACGGATTGTCCGCAGAACCAGAATATGTGGTGCAAAAAAAACGGAGAGTCATGCGGTGGTGACGCTCTGACTTCTCCTCAGCAGCGACTGAGCTGAAATGACTTGACTCGGACCCTGACCCGAAACTACAAAACTCACATGTTGGTCGGTTCCGGGCCCAGTTTGAACATGTATTGGCAGTGAAAAATCGGGAGAACGTGCAGCTTTTGGAAGATGGATGTATATCAAAAAAAAATATGGTCCACTCGCCAAGGCTTAACTATATGTAAATTGAACTAACTAAAGTTTGAATCAACACGGTGAGCTTCAGTCTTGAGGTACTTGTCACGGGATTTCCGGAGGAATGCACGCGCAATATCTGGGTCAGGGTGGCCAACAGCGGCCAAGCACCAGGGAAGCATCTGCCAATGGGCCGTTTTGAGTGTCAATTCAAAAATACACCTGTCCACAGCAGCATGCCAATCTGAAAGAAGAGCCCCCTGCTCAATTGCATCCAGCCCGTCACAGAATCCCAACACATCTGTCATGCCCGAAGTTGCTAATGCTTCCAGGTGCTGATCTAGATGGCCAGTCGCTAGTTCTGGTGCCCGACGTCCCTTGTAACAGCAAGAGGTGCCGTCAGATCTGCAGTCTTTCGACCTAGTGTACCAAGTGCTACTTGCTAAGAGATCATCTTGGTGGCAATGGCAACCCTCGCACCAACTCGCCAATGATGTCAAAAAACTGGACAGGATATTGACCATAAGGCAATACGACCAGAAGAACCGACTTTGAATAACACCGTCGACCAATGCCGCAAAGTTTGCACCCGCTGTTGTCTCGGATTGTTTCCCTACCTGTCCATGTTTGACCCTGACCCTGCCACGTACAACTTCAATTGACAATTCGCAATAATAGCTCGGCATATAAGCAGTTTATTATTTCATTTTTGTGTGAGATCATGACATCAGGAATCTGGAAATGGAATTCAGGAGTTGGGAATTGGAAACGTTCAACTTGCATGTGTTTCAGTAAATGGTCCGGTCAGTCATCAATCAGTCCTTGTCATCAGCTGCACCGAAGTTGAACTTGCGAAGTGACCACATGGCCATAAGCGCTCCACGTCGCTTCAACACAGCTTCTGTGGAGGTTGTCAAGGAGTTCCACCCTGCACAGCGCAGCGCAGCTGTCAGTGGACAGGCAGCTATTACGTATGCACACACATTGTTTTGTAGACTCCTAACTCCTGACTCCGGTCTGAAAACCAAAACAAACAAGGGCTGGGCGGCTGGGCGGCACTGGGGATGGGAGTGAGTGGCTGGAACGTACCATATTCCGAAGAAGAGTGGCGCTGCAGCCAAGAGTCTCCAGAGGATGAAGTGACCGCCATCCCAGCACCGCATTTGCCGCTCGAACACGCTGTCCCTGAAACATGTTTGTACAAGCCTTGGATCTCAGAAGTCAATGCCAATAATGTCAATCAGAACCGTGAGTCAAGTATAGTCAAGTCATTAGTCAAGTGCAGAAAAAACAACTACTACCCGTCATGAGGCATAGGCAAATAATTCAATAATCTTTATGATGCCTTGAAGTCTTGAAGGTTTTTTCCCCTACCATCAATTTCGTGGAAGCCACACATTGTTGCTACAGAATCAAGACCAGCTCGACGAGCTCATCAATCCATCCCATCACAGCACATGAGTCTTCGGTTCTGTTCATGTCAGTGGCAGTCGTCATGTCGTCAGCAAGTCAGTCAGCCAGTTAGTGGCAAACAAACAACAAACAAACAATCAAACAATCAACGAGAAATGATTTGATAAAACAATCATCATTTGTGATATGATTATGATATGATCACAAACTTCGGAATGGCGACCAGCTTGTGGGGAGATTAATTTGTAGGGATTTTTGGGCATCTCAAAAAGTACTTTTTGAGCTATTTTGAGCCAAAAGTGACTCGTGCTAGCATCGTGATAACATCAACGTGTTTCACAGGTTTGAAAACGTGACATTGAACAACTTTGAACCCAAAAACCAAAAAATGAACCTTTGAAATGAAATTTGGTATTGCGTTTGTGTGTTTTCATTGGTTTTTGTTCAAAGCTTGAACTGACATGAAATATGGTGTTGTCATTGTTGCCGTTGTGAATAGCCTTTGTCACTTGGGTCAATTGTCATGAGGCTGCCACCTAACATGTGAACACGAACAAGTCAGCAACTTCAAAAGTAGAAAAAATGAATATTTTCAAGGGAATAACATTTTTCATTCGTTGGGTAATGTATAAAGTTTGATGTTTGATCGCTGCGCCAGCATATAGTCACATTGCCAACACTGGCCAGCACCAAAAAAAAATTACACATATGTCTTATGTACGCAAGCAGAAATACATGTGTAAACAAAAACGTTTTTTTAACGCTACCATGTGTACGCAGGAAATGAAATATACAAGCAGAACATAGATATGAAACGTTTTTTATATAATAAAAGCGTGCTTTTACAACAGTATCTAACCGTGAACATTGTTGAATATCTACTGGCATACCTGTTTACACTTGAGTGTATACATGCATACGGTTGTGGACCTGGAAATTGAAAAGTCAATATGTGTGGACGTGCACACATACCTATCCTTTGAAAAAGGCACTAACTAATTAGCATTTATGTTTACAAACCTTAATTACGATGTGTTTCCTTAATTGAGGTTTGTTCTTCAGTAATTGAGGTTTGTTTGCGCAAGAAACAAACTTTAGTTAAGGGAACAAAGTTTCAGTGGAGACTGTGGTTTTGTAAGGTTTGTTTTGAAGGCTCGTTTTTTGACACATGTTGGCACACATGTGTGATTCTGCGTAGGCATGCAATGGGCAAAAGGAACATATATACACAAATGTATATATATATATATTTGAGAGAGAGAGATATATATATATATGTAGATGTATTTTTACAATAATACACGCATGTTCAATAATCAACGTCGCACTTTATTTTATTTGTGGAGGATTTTGCGCATAGTCTTGTTGCA